ATACAGGAAAGGAATAAATTTGTTGCAAACATGGAAAGAAAAGGATAAGAGGGGCATGGAAAAAGAGCTCAGAAGTATTAAATAACTGAAAAAATGAGAAAATTAGAGCAGGGCTTTTCAACCTTTTCACCCATTGTACCACTTTTAGGATATGGCAACATCCGAGTACCACCAGTCGCCTAGCAAGGTGTCAAAAACTTGATGACCAAAAAAAAAAGGGAAAAAGTGATAAAGTACAGGTAGTCCTCGATTTTCACTTAGTGACTATTCGAAGTTACAATGGCACTGAAAAAAGTGCCCCCCAAGACACAGCCGAGCAAGACACCTGCCTGCCCACCCGGCGGCGCTCTTCCTCCTGTCCAAAGTTTTCATTGTTGTGAGCATTTCTGTTGAGAATTGGCAGTGGGGGTTGGAGGGATGTTTGGTTTTTATTCCCCCCGTCTGCTGGGTGGTTGCAGCAGGTTTTGGTCACTTCACATGACTCTGGGACACTGTGACCATCATATGTATGAATCAGTTGCCAAGCATCTGAATGTAAATCACAAGACCCTGGAGATGCTGCAACATTCAAACTGATCAGTGCTTCTCCCGGACTCAGCAGAAGCACCAGGATCAGCGCTGAGCTCCAGCTGGAGCCTGGCACTGATCCTGGTGCTTCCACTGAGCCTTGACAGCCCTGCAGCTCCAGCTATCTCTCGTTCAGACTTGTGCAGTGCTGCTACCGGTTCAGCTCATTCCCCTCCCCTACTACCACTTTTCTAGGATGGTCGCGTACCACCTGCCAGGTGCCAATGTACCACAGATGGTACCCATACCACTGGTTGAAAAGCCCTGAATTAGAGGACTGGAAGTGACATCTGGCCCCAACTTTTACAATAATCCAATGGTACAATAATCCAATGGACCCTTTGCAGAAGAGAAGAACATCCTAGAAAACCAGAGAATGAATTTGGCTTTTCAAGGTTGGCCTTTTTCTTATTTTTTGATTTGGCCCTTTACAGTCTAGATATTATAACCCAGCAGCCTGATACCATTAGGTTCATAATTCTACTTTGCAAAGTCAGTAGCACCCTCATGACAAATTTGGCTGAAGCTGTGCAAAATGTCTGTCAATAAAACTGATCTTTCTTTTCTACCATGGATTTTAGTCCAGGTAGGAATGTGAAATCAGTCTTTATTGTTATAGCAACTATAAAACCTCATCTCTTTTCTATGCCCCTGTAATTCTTGCTGTAGTCTGTTTGGAAAATCTACCCTAGCAACCTTAACAACCACATCCACATTTGTCAGGCTTCATTCACTACACAGGTGCAATTTATTTATATTCTCAGATGTTGACTATACTTTGACGCTGACAAGGTCTAACATTGATTTTATTTGTTGAAATGTGTTCTGGAACACTGCTGTACTCAAACCTGTAGATGAAATATAAAGAACTGACATTTAAAGCAGATTCCTTTTTATTATTTAGTAGTTTACCAACTATATAACCTTTGCTTTGCTATAGATAGAAGATCCTGAAACAATAAGTTTTTATTGGTTTCATATGCTGTAAATATCATCTAAGGTTTTCTTGTAAATGTGTGTGTGTGTGTGTGTGTGTATACAAATTGTATAAGTATTACCACAATACAGATTTTTGATAACATGCTTCTGCTTCTACCAGGCCTATACATAATCTTGTTTTCCAAGCAGTATAGTACTTTTCTCAAGAAAAGAAGCAAAAAGCAAGGGCATAGGGCTGTGTTATAAAGGAAGAGGATTTGGTGGTGATAGTGTTTTACTTCTAAATGAGTTATCTCTAAACAAAGATAATTACACTTTGTAAATTGATTTGAAATATAACATATTATGTGTCCATGGGTTACGTGAGTATTTTCAGGCTTACCAGGATTCCCAATGTTGTGTTTACATTTATTATTTGTATTTCATTTCGGAGTTGTTGTTGTTATTTTTGGGGGGGGGGGGTTCTCTATATACTTTAACCAATAGATTTCAAATTTCATTTTATTGTGACATTTTTTGTTGCATAAATGTCTTTTTTAAAAAAAAACTTGTGAATTTTATATTTTATGGGCAAGAACTATCTGTAAAAATATAGTGATGATAGTAGCATTTCAGGGTAAAATATTTAGGCTGTTATACATAAAAATATTTTGCACTACACACACTGCACTTTTTAAATATCATAAAAAACTATCCATATGTTCACATATACTCTCTGAAGTATGATTTGACATGGCCTTTTCCCATCTTTCTTGATGTTTACCAATGCTTTTGTTTTGGAGAAAAATGAGTGTTTCCTAGGATTGAAGGAATTGTTCTACAACAGTTCAGAGGACTCATTTATCACAAGGGTGCCCAACCCCCGGTCCATGGACCAGTAGCGGGCTGCGGCATGCCAGCAACTGGTCCACACAAACAAGCAAAGCCCCAAACCCATGCACTCTCCGGTCCGCAGAAAAACTTTTATCCATGGAACCGGTCCCTGGTACCCAAAAGGTTGGGGACCTCTGATCTATCAGGTTCAGGACTATGGCAATTAGTCCTGAACCTTTATAGATTTAAAGAAAGGAGTTTTGCCAACTCTGAAAAACCTACCTGAAAAACCAGAAATAGAACCTTAAGCTTTTTACATGCATCATTGATAACATCAGCATCTTTTGACCGAGGATTGTTCTCTAGCAGCAGCGCAGTGGAATTCTCTCAAGGGCAACACATGGAATGATTTGCTTGTGGCAGTTAAGGATATGAGCAGTGTGGTGGCTCAGCAGTTAAGAGACTGGGCTTGTCAGCTGTAAAGCCAACAGCTTGGGTTTGAGACCCTAGTACCATACAACTGGGTGAACTCCCTTCCTTTCTCCAGCTCCTGCCAAACTAGCAATTTGAAAGCATGCAAATGCAAGCAGATAAATAAGTACCACTTCAGTGGGAAGGTAACAGTGTTTTGTGATGTCATGCTGGCCACATGACCATGGAAATGTCTCTGGACATTACCACTCAATGGCCTTGAAATGGAGATGAGCACCACCTCCTATTATCAGCAATGACTAGCGAAGTAAAATCTGCAGGGACTCCTTTACCTTTACTCAAAGATATTCCACTAAGGAATTTGGAAAATAGAGCAAGTCATTCCCTGGCATATTGTCAATAGCAACTTAAAAAATCAAAGTCCTACTATATATGAGGACTATATACTGTAAGCAAAGGAGAGAATGTAGTACCCAATTTGTTCCAGATAATCTTTTAAATAAAAAAGTAAGCAAATAAATAGGAAGCTGATATTATGAAAGCCAAACACCAACTTTGTTTCATTTATTCATTGTTACATGAATGTCCTATTATGATTCCACTGGGATGGTAATAAACATTCATTGTTACAACCACCAGATTGTAGAGAACTGTTTGACTGTGTCTCAGTCCATTTCCTAAAATTAAGACTATGCTTAATTTATTAAGTTATTATGACACTGTATAGGGGAAGCTACAATAGACAGTGGTAGAATTCCCTGGATAGTATGCTTCAAATGAGGAATAGAATAGAATAGAAACAGAAACAGAAACAAAACCTTGGAGATATTCTAGTCCAGCCCCCTGCTTGAGCAGGAGAACCTATACCATCTCAGACAAGTGATTGTCCAGTCTCTTCTTAAAAACCTCCAGTAATGGAACGCCCATGATTTCTGAAGGCAAGCTGTTCCTCTGATTAATTGTCCTCACTGTTAGGAAGTTTCTCCTTAATTCCAGGTTGCTTCTCTCTTTGGTCAGTTTCCAATCATTGTTTCTTCCTGCCCTCTGCTGCTTTGGAGAATAGTTTGACCCCCTTTTCTTTGTGGCAGCCCTTCAAATACTGGAATACTGCTATCCTGTCGCCCCTGTTTCTTTTTTTCTTTAGACTAGCCAAACCCAAGTCCTCTGGCCGTTCTTCATATGTTTTAATCTCTAGGCCTTAGATCATTTTAGTTGCTCTTCTCTGAACTTTTTCCAATGTCTCAACATCTTTTTTGTAATATGGTAACCAAAATTGGTTGCAATATTCCAGGTGTGGTATTATTAGGGTTTTATAAAGCGGCACTAATACTTCGCATGATCTTGATTCTATGCCTCTGTTTATACAACCCAGGATTGTATTAGCTTTTTTGGCGGCAGCCGCACACTACTGGCTCATAGTCAAGTGGTCATCCACTAGGACTTCAAGGACCTTCTCATAGTTGCTGTTTTTGAGCCCGGTCTCACCTAGTCTGTGCTTAAACCTTTGATTTTTCCTGCCTAAATGTAAAACTTTGCTTTTCTCTACATTAAAACTCATTTTGTTGGATAGGGCCCATTGTTCAACTTTGTCAAGATCTTTTTGGATCCTGAGCTTGTCTTCTGGGGTGTTGGCTACTCCTGCCAGTTTAGTGTAATCTGCAAATTTGATGAGCTTCCCTTCTATTTCCTCATCTAAGTCATTAATGAAAATGTTGAAGAGTACTGCGCCTAAGACGGAGCCTTGTGGTATCCCACTGCTTACTTCTCTCCATGTGGATATAGTAGTATTGAGTACTACTTGCTGAGTATGGTTTGTCAGCCAGCTACAGGTTCATCTGATGGTGTTGCTATCTATCCCACCTTTTTCTAACTTACTAAGCAGTAGGTTGTGGTTTACTTTGTCAAATACCTTATTGAAGTCTAAGTATACTATGTCCACAGTGTTCCACTGTGACTACTAATCTAGTCACTTTATCAAAGAATGAAATGAGATGGTTTGGCATGATCTGTTTTTGAGGGTATGAGGGTATTAGTAATTTTAAAAGTTTATTTTAAAATCTTTCATGTTGCCTTTCTAGTCAAAGGTAGTAGAAAAGCAATATATAAGTAGAACTTTCAAAGATTCATAACCATTATGTTACATCTAACACAACCCAAAGGGTTTATATTTCATAGATTGCTTTTTTGTTAATCTAATTCTGTCCCCTCACTTATTATGTGGCCATATTTTCTACTTTTAATATATGCAGGAACCTACTGGCATTGAATATCCACTTACAGATCCAGCAAGTACCATTACATCCATAGTAGGACCCTGCGCATTCAGCATCCCTCTTCCTATCCGTCAGAAACTTTGCAGTAGCCTAGATGCTCCTCAAACAAGAGGCCATGATTGGCGGATGTTGGCCCACAAATTAAAATTGGACAGGTAAGCAAACATATTGTCAACGTAAATTTAACATTAGTTGAGTTACTTTTTTAATTATGCTAGCAGTGCATTGCTGATCCTTCTGAAACTAGTAGCAGAGAGTTACCATTGAAATATGCTCTTCAAAAAGTTTCTTACAGAGAAGTTTGTACCAATATCCATATGCAAGGAGTAAGTCGCATAATGGAATATGGTTTATGGCAACAATTGTCTCAATCGACACTGGGAATACCATCCAAATTATAACTGGTATACCAAATGGTCTAATCTTTTAATCCCAAATAGTAAAATTAATACGTTAAAATATAACTGCTGGGCATTATTTTGGTATTTTTCTCTACACACCAGAACAGAAAGCACTCTGTGAAAGTTGTAATTATGTTCTGTGTCCTTTAATATGTGTAGCCTATGACAATTGAAGGCTCATTGAAGGCTCTAGTCCTTTTTAATTATATTCTGCTGATCAGAAAAAAAATCATATTAAAAAAAGATAGTTCATTTTCTTCTTTAATGCATATCACTCTTTGAGTGAACACTATTATCTTATAACAAAACTTCAGATCAAACAGTAGGGAAGAAAATAATATTCTGGACTGCTAATAAATGACAGTAGAAGGGAAGAAGGACACAATGCCCTTATTAACATGGTATACCTGGAGACAGCAGAAGGACATGCAGAAATAATGCCTATGTTCCAGGCTGCTTATTTTATACACTTATTAATTACAAATGCTTCTGTATCCTTCACTTATATGATTATCACCTATATATAACATACTGTATATATTTTAATGCATTACAATCATTTTAAAATTATCAGACATATCAGAAGCAATAATAATAAATAATATTGGCATACATTCAAAGTAATATAATAAATACATAACGTCGATCATTTATCTTAATCAAGTACATAATTCTTTATCTTATCAGTCTCCAAATATACGTCTTAAAAGCCAAGTTTGTAGAGCCTTCCTAAATATTAAGAATTGGGGTATGGTTCTTCCATATGTTGAGAGGAACGGACTGGAGACCACACTCCTCTCTGAATTCCTATTTGTTGTTCCTCCCAAGTGTAGAGACTCCCAAACATGATTTTGGATAGGTAGATTCAATTTGGAGTTCTCAAAGATAGATGAGCCACAAACCAGATAGATCTTTAAAGGTGATCATCAAAATTTACCTTGAATTGCATTCAGAATACAACATCCAACAAAAGTCCTGAATAGTGGTGTTGTATTACATTACCAAGTTTCCCAGTTAATATGTAGACCACTTTATTTTGTACCAGTTTTAGTTTGTGGTTGGTTTTCAAAACCAATCTACTGATGAGGTGACAAGGGCATAAGTAACTGAACTAGCTCATTTTGCTCCAGGAACAGTTGCAACTGGCCCCCTTGCCAAAAAATAGCAAAGGTCCTCCTATCCACTGCTTCCATCTGCTTGCCAGCAGAAGATGACCGTCAAGGACCAGCCTCAGATTGCACACAACTCTTTCTGGACAAGCACAATCTTGTCTCAAGCTAAAGTAGATATTGTCCCAGCTTTCAATCCATTTAGCAATGTTGAGTTTCAATTTGTTTCTCTCCATCCAGTCTCTAGGTAATAGAACAAGATTTAAGCTGCATCAACCACACGACTGGGATAGAGATATATAGCCTACATATTACATGAATTTCCCCTGCAGCTTCATGTAACATCAAGGACCCATTAGACACGCCGTACTAGAATACCTGAGGGCTCCATCTGTCCTTTGCCCCAGTGTCCATACTCACTGGGAAACTCCACAAGTACCATTATGAAACCCTAGTAGATCCATCAAATGTCTGGAGGGATCTAATTGACCAATCTCCCCTCAAAGTTTGTACCCCCCCCCCCCCGTCAACTCTACAGTCATGAGAAAGTCCATAATAAGAGCATAGTTCTTATATCCTCCACTAACAAATCATCTCAGGTGTCCTGGAATATAAATAATGTCTAATATGTGTCTCCTAGTGTTGTCAGGCTGGCGATGACTTAAGATGAGTCCTTGGTTATAACGGTGGTCATGAAATGTTGAGCCCCTGAGAACCCTCAGAGGTTAGAGATGATAAACTTGAATATCAACCTAGTCATCTCAATCACCAAACCATATCAAAACAAGGGCAAAGTGATGCTATGGTAGAGGTGAAAGGAAACAAAAGCAACAACATGTCCATCCGGTCCTACCTATCAGACAATCTTGTCTTTGCAGCATTTTGTTGCTGCCCCCACATATAAATCACTGCACAGTAGCTCCTGGCAATAATACTGATAAAGTACTCCATCTATTATAGTCTCCAATATCTAATGGGATTAGAAACCATGCCTAATAATCTGAGGACTGCTCTTCTCTGATCTTTTACATGGAGCAAAATATAAGATATTTTATATTTTGCTCCATGTAAATTATATTTATATCTTATATATAAGATATAAGCAAAAATATAGCAAAGAGTACAGTTTTAATAGCAGCTGATTTCTCACTGCAGGTACCTCAATTATTTTGCTACAAAATCAAGTCCCACCGGTGTGATCTTAGACCTTTGGGAAGCTCAAAATTTTCCCGATGGAAATTTGAGCATGCTGGCCACCGTCCTTGAAGAGATGGGAAGACACGAGACAGTGGTTTCATTGGCAGCAGAAGAAAAGTACTGAACTGACCTTGGAATGAGAATGAAGGAATGTTCACCATCATGTCAGCTGTGACAAACACAAACCAAGCACCCCCAAACCAATGTATTTCATAGCCAGAGGCATTCCAGAGGGACAAGACATAGAATCCTGCCTTTTCACATGCATCCTTTTTGTATATTATCACAGGATTTGAAAGAAATCATGCAAAGTTGTTACCTTTATAATATAATTCAACCTAACATTCCTCTCAGCTTGGCTGTACACTGCTTAGTGCAGGATTTTACAGTTTCCTAGGAAACGCTTTTTATTGCTATCCAGATATATGGATAAACTTTCTTAACAATCCCAGTTTCTATGAACGTTGTTTACATCAAATCCTGGGCAGCAGGATGGAAATGACTGTCCATGGCTATCTTTTTATATATTATTTTTCTTCTTTTGTTGAAAGCCATTCTACACCAAGCTGTGGACAAAGCAGGGTTGTGGCTATTTTCTGATAAATCAGTCTCCAACACACATTTAAGACAATTTCATAATTGCAAATCTGCCCATTAGATGTCTTAAAATAACCTACCTATTCTAAGATTGAGTTAAGAGAGAATTCTAAACGTGCAACTGGCAAGAAAAATAATCTGAAAGCTGATCAGGTATGCATGTATCTCTCTACCTTCACCAAGGTAGCTTGTGTCCCTTGGTGACTTCAACTGCAGGGATTCCCCCTCCTCCTCACCCCCCCAGCTTACAACATGCCCTGCCTTCATCTTTAAAGTGTATGTAAGACAGAGAGAGAAAGAGAAAGAGAGAGAGTTTGGTGTGCTTTGAGACAAAGAATCCTCCCTAAAAAGAAAAAGAAAAAAAGTTGCTTGTACGATGTCTGTAACTGAATAGTATCTAGTATAAATAATATTATATTTCTTTTAGTGGTATTATTTTTGTTTACCAAAATTATCTACAGCATTAACCATTTGAGCAATGGCAGCACCCTCCCTGGAAACTGATGATGGCTGCCATGGGCCTTCTAATCCTTTTAAGAGGTAGATTCTTCCCCCTTTTCTCCTGGCCCTGGAGCTCCCCCTCCTGCCCCCCTCCCAATCAATTTCAGTGAACTGGTGCATGAATTACTATCATGCAATACACTTTCTCCTGACAAGTTTTCTTTTACAGATGGGTAACAGTGCATTCATCTTGATAAGAGAATTCGGCCTAGATGGATTATTTTACACAAACAAGATGTTTCACAATAAACACTGCATGTTGCCCTTGTTTATTTAGTAGGTTTGACATTAAATATGCCTTTTTTCTTTGCTGTAAGCCATCAAAACTTCATGCATGTCCATGGGACCTTGATTAATTTTCTGGTGTCTTAACATTAACAAACAATCTGTTCTATGTATATCGCTCCATATTGCTATTCTTTTAGAGAGAAATGTTCCTTCAGATACTGGTTTTTATTCAAACATGAAAAAGTATTTTGTGCAAGTAATTGCAAAGTTTGAAGCTAAAGGATATGATAATTTAATTTGTGTGTTTCAGATTTATTGTTGAGAATAGAAACATCTATGCATTGTTGAGTTTAAAGTACTTGAGTTGGGTCCTGTTTTACATCTTTGGTGTCTTGGAGAAGATTTGATGGCCTATTAGCAAATGAAACTGGTAATTGTTCAAGCTCATATGAAACTTGGGTACATTTTTCTGTTACAAAAAAAATACTATGGCATTTTGTTTCTAGCCTTCCCTTTCATTTTTCTCCCTTCCCATTTTAAAAAATGTTATTTTGCCATCTTCACTTGCTTAAGATTCTGTATACTGTGTGTATGTGCTTGTAATATTTCCTGTGAAGGTTCTCAGATCTGCATTTCTAAAAGTAACCATGGAAATACTGTTGGTTAGCAAGAAAGGTGAATTTTGCCTGACCTTTTCTTCATTTTGACATTTCCACAAAGTTTTATTATACATCCAGTGACTATGCTTTTATTAAACACAGAGCACCATTCATAAAACATTCCATTAGGAAACTCAGACATTCGTCTTTCAGTAATCAGAAACAGTAACAGGTTTTGATCAAAGTTAATGTGGGTTTTGTTTTTAAAATGTAGTTAACATTTGGTCATGGAACGTCCTAGTTGGGCTTTAAAATTAACTTTTGATCTGGTACAGTTGCCTTCTTGTGTTCAGTCAGGTTCTTCAAAAGTTAAATGCAACAACCATTGAATTTAGATGACTTCTAATCTCTCTTTCACACATCTGTCTGTCTGTAGCTATTTAGCTATCATATATCTATCCATCTATCATCTATGTCTATCATCTGCCTATCTATATCTGTCTATCCATATGTCATCTATATCCTCTATCTCTTATCTACCCGTCTATATCTATCTAGCATTTATCTCTATCCAGCATCCATCTCTATTAGACATCTTCTGTCTGTCTATCTATCTCTGTCATCTGTCTAGTTTCAGTTTTGCTATCATTGTCTAACAATCCTGTCAAACATATTCATTAATAAATGATCTATGTGATTTTTTTTAAAGTACCCATACAAAAAAATAGCTATCATGTGAAATGAGGTAGGTCTGATACCATACAGGTGCAGAGAAAAAAGTGGATATCTAAAAGAGGCTGATGCAGCCACAGTTTTCTCTCTCTGCCTAGACATTTCATCTAACAAACCAGAGGGTTATTAAAAGGAAAGCTATCATTTTAAATCATACACATATTTTCATTAGCTGGTCTAATTTTTTTAATTGGACCATTATCAAGAATTGGCAAGATGGTGCCTATTAGCTGAAACCTCAAATAAAAAATAAAACTTGCCAGTTTTTAACAAATTTTTAACCAATTCTCTCAAGATCTACAATGCTTTTGCATTTTTATTTTTAAAATATTTATTTATACTTTTTTAAAAATAGTAATACCACACAAATTTTTACCATGATAAAAAGTGTCTGAAAAGTCATTTTCTGCAGTCAGCTTTAGCTACAGTACATGCAATGAATAGTAAATATACACATGTATAGACACCCTGTCTGTAAATTTGAAAAGACAAACAACATGAATTCCTACTTTAAAGTAGCCCTTTTCAAACCATCTTGAAAAACGTGTCTGGCTGAAATGCGTATAGAATGTGCATGATTATAGGGATGTGTGTGCATTTGTGTATATATATATACTTACAATCCATCAATGCACAGCAAACTAGGAAATACACCTATCGTCACAGTTGTTCTGATATAGATCAAAGGTTTTTAAGTTACTGTAAAGCAGTTATGGGGGGAAAAAGCATAGACTGTTCTGAATTAAGGCATGTGCAGTAGATGAGTATGGCCAAATAACCTTCAAGTTGCCCTGTAGTTTAAAGTACTTAGAGTTAATCCCCAAGACAGAGCTTGAAACACACTTCATATTTAAATAGGAAACATTCCTGAAAAATTAAGTTTGTAGAAGCAGAAAGAATGGAGGAGTTTATAAGAGAAAACAGATTCTAAGTTTGAATATGCTTGAGCCTACTGCCATCTAGTGGCTTACTATGCCATCTAAATGCATTTTAGAAAAATTGAAAACCAGTTTTTGTCTTAGCATTGAATGTAATTTTGTTATCCTTTCCTTGATATTATTTTAACTATATTGAGATCTAGTAGTAAGTTCTTTACGAGGTACATATGTTTATTTGTGACCTATAGAAAAAATCAGGACTATCTGGTACAACATCCCACTTAAGGTTCTAGAGACTTTGGGTACCTATTAAAGGAATTTGTAAGTTTTCCCGCCTTTGTAGAATTCTGCAGATGTGTCTATTGTGCATACAGGTATACACAATATATAGGTATTGTGTATTCAGGTCCTCACAGTGATATATCAAGTGCTAGCGATAGAAGTAAAATATATAAATACTATACCTATACAGTTATATAAAGGTAACTAAATATATTTAAAACATTTTAGTTTTTTCTCTTTTTTAAAGTCCTATAATGAAAAAGCATTTAAGGGTGTTTGATGGTTTGTTTTTTGGTTTATGTTTCTATATTTTCTTGTCATTCTTTTCTTGAGAAATCTCAAAATATTCATATGAAGTGAATTATATATTCATGCGGCTAGAATATATGAATGTAACTCATTCTCAAATATTACTGGAATGCTTAGCAGTAACTTCCTTTTTTGGTGGATGCACAAATAATATGTATTTCTGCACAATTCATTGAATTTTATGTTACCATTAGATTATGATCAAGAGATAATTAATTGTGCAGCTTTGCATCCACTGCTTGAATGGAGGAAAACTTAACATAATATAACATTCAGTCATGAGGAAGAGGGAATCTGACATATAAATGTATGGGCTTGATTTGCGTAGTACACTTATCTAGATCAGTTAAAACAGAGGTCCCCAACCTTTTGAGCATCAGGGACTGGTTATGTGGAAAGAAGTTTTTGCACAGACCGGAGGGGATGTGGTTTTGTGTGCTGCCTGCATCCCACGGATGGAGCTTTCCTTTTTTGTGTGGACCGGTTGCTGGCATGCCGCAGCCCGGTACTGGTCCACATACCAGGGGTGGGGACCCCTGAGTTAAAAGATATAGCTGCTGCATTTATGTAACATGCTAAGTTTGGATATGTTAGACTATAGTCCAGTATGTTCCTTGAACTCAGCCTATATTGTAGGAAATGTGTAAGATGTGATTCAATTCAATTTAATTCACCATCCACATTGAGCATATTGTGTGAAGTGTGGCTGTGCAAATACTGACATAATGTTTAGAATTTCTGCCGTGAACTAGTTTCATAGATATCAGCACCATGGTCCCCATGAACATCTCTTAGTTGGACCTACATCTTTCCCCTATTCATCAATAGCTTTCCGTATGAGCTATTGTTTTTGTAGTAATATCAAAGACTCATACAGAAGCATTTTTCAGTGGTTATTTATACGTTGTGGAGTGCAGCGGCTAAAAAACTGAGTTGTGTTACCATTTGAAGGCTCTAAGCCAGCCACCAGATACAGCCTCAATTATTCATCTGGCATGAACAGCACTGTCCAACTTATCAGTCGAATAACAGAGATAAGTAATCCTTTGACTCTTCAACAGCTGTATAAAATTTTAAGTATACTATTCCTTTTAATCATGAGAGTGATTTTTACCAATCAGCAGCAATAAATGTACAGTAAAACATTCAAGAATTTTGTAGAAAATACTATACATTCTTTTTCTGTCTAGATTTAGGATAAGCAGACTTTCGATTTGACTTTCACAAATTTTTTGAAGATTTCTTTCTCTGATCCTCAATATGATGACCAGCATCTTTGGATGGCAAATGTAATTTAAATGTATCTTTCTTGAAGCTAATTACTAGCTATGTTTCACAATGGCTTTAAGAAATCTACAGACTGAGCCCAGTAGAAACATAGCTTATTTGCTGGCAGACTGCATTACCTACTTATCTTTCTTCGGTATATTACATGCTGTGAATCAAGGTAGCAGTCTGAGCAGGCAAATATATTCCCAGTCTGAGTAATGTATTTAAGAAGACAAGCAGTGCTGCAACTGATCACATTATACACATCAGCATTACAGCATTTATTTGAGTAGATAGATCCAGGACAGAACTATAAATCAATGGTAGAAGTGTGGATAACAGATATGTACATCACACAACATAACTTGAAACCTTGAGGCAAGCCTGCTGATTTTTAAGCTCTGCCTCTGTACCCTTGTCAGTGTCAATTCCATTTTAAGGCCTGTTGCTTTTCGTTTATGGAATAATGATGAGTAGAAGACCCATTTTATCTTCCCTCTTAGACAGAAGTAGCCTAGTCCTAAAACTCAGGGCAAGGTTGAAAAAAATTGTTTTTATAGAACATGAACTCATCTCTGAAATGGAATAGCAAAATAGGAATAGCAACAATATAGCATGTTGTTTGGTACGTCCATCTTTATACCAAGGATAAAAGGGCAGCATAAAAACTTAAAATCAGGCACAGGTCATTCATACGAGATCATTGTATGTGTCTGATGATTAACCGTATTTTTCTTGATCTTCAGCTAATAGCTGCTTACATAACCCTGTAGTTGTTCCTTGTGGTTCAAGTGGGGATAGTGCAGGCATATTTTGGTTGTGTGGGCATTTCCTTCTATTAAATTGGTTGGATAGCTTTTTAGACAAATGGAGGTTAAATCCACATAAAACAACCAATTTTTCTGGCTGAATGTTGCTCCTCATGGACTTATTCCTCACTCGAAGCCATTGGTTGAAGATCAATGGTTCAGACTATTTAAAGTGAAGAAACTATCAGTATTACATTTTGTATTATTGGTTAAAGACTTTGAACTTTAACTTTAGTCTGATTGGATCACAATATACTAGGCTGTTTCTTTATGAAGATATTTTAAAAATGTGGCAGTTTGTGACTTTGCTGCTATTATAGTTTAATTCTTTAACTGTGTCTTTGAAAAAGAACAAGACAGCCAGATGTATCTTACTGGAAAAATTAATGCAACACTCTGTGACAACAGTGAAAATGTATATTGTGGTTTTAGTATTGACTTTAACTGACAAATATATTAATTCCTCAACTCCCTCTTTCTTATCTTCTTTTTATAAAGTACAGATTGTGTGATTGATGTAGCTTTTTTAGATAAGGTTATGATCTTTATGGTGTCCTTATCTGATAGTTTTGATTTTAATTAAAATTTCACTTCCTTGGCAGTTCCATTTGGGCCTGCTAGGATTCAGATAAATGCCTTTTGCTGGGCTGGAAAAGTTTAGTTGAGCTTGTATAGCTTGTTGGATTCCATATGAGTGTTTCAACAAACTAAAATAAACCCAGAAGAAACAAAAAGAAGAAATAATAACCAAATTAAATAGACAAGGTAGAATGAAGCAAAAATGCCTGATGTTCATTTTTATTCCCCCTCTGTGGCCTTTGCTGATTATCCCTTCTAAAATAATAACCATCACTACCACAATACATCACCTTCTAACCCCTCATTCTTTGAGCGGGCACTGAACATAATCATTGGTAAGAAATATGATTCTCTTGGGGCTGAGAGTAGAGCATCTACATCTTACTGAGATGCTTGTTCCATCTATTACTGAGCAGTAACAGAATGAAAGCAGACACTTGATACTGGTTTAAACTTAGACCAAGACATCCCTGCTAAAGCAGGAAAGAGGAGAAAATGTACTTCAACGTACAATTTGAGAGGAGAATATTGTTTCTTAACTTTTTGCACCTCGCAGTTGAAACCACAAGAATATTGCTTTAGGTTTATGCTAGGAGTAGATTTTGGTCTTGCATTTGTTTTATTGAACCAGGTTAAGGGAACAGGTTTGGTTTGATTTTGATCTCCCTTATTGCTGTATCTTCTATGCAATTCTTTTTCTAAAGAATTACTAACAGAGCAAAGTGCTAGCCATTGCATTCTTTGTATTGCTGTACAGTGGAGGTGTAGTTTACTAGTTCAGAGTGTGCCTCTGTCCCCTTCTCCCTTTTTCCTTCAGCCCTCTGTTTGTAAATGCCTGCATTTATGCTGTCAGCCTGACATGTACAAAGTGTAAGAAAGAATTTTTAAACAGGTTATAAATTATATTTATAAGCAAGTGAAAACAAAATTATGTGTGTGTTTTCATTTAGTAAAAGCATCTTCAGTCTTCCTTGTTTGTGGGAAAGCGGTTTGTGTTTTCCTGTATTATAACACAATGTGTTCACATTCACATTTATGCCTCCACCTCAAGAGAGTAACTGCAGAGAATGAGGCATACAAATGCATTGAAAATATACACGCTTCAAGACATTAACTGCTTTGCAAGCCACAATTCACAAATGAATCCATTTGCTTCATGAACTCAAAACTGTTTTTTCTGACATACCATACCATGGCCAAAGGCTGTATGCCTCACAAAAAGGTAGAAATATTGGGTGTTCAAGAGAGTACACTTTAAAATTTCATCATATACAGGATTTAAGCAAATTAAAGGTAAGTCTTTATGTCCGGCAATTAATGGTGGGGTATGTTCTGATATGTACCTTGGGGTCTTTCACATTGGACAGAAAAGTTGAGATCTTGGTGCTCAAATCATTGCAAAACACCAATCCATATGGTGACCAAGAAGGAATTGCACTAAAATGGACATTTCAATCACAGGATAACAAGTACTGAGGGAAAATACCTTAATAAAGCACACTAAAAACATAATAAAGGTTGCTAAAAAGTCAGACAAGAATTGGAATGGGAGTTAAATCAATCAATGACAACACTCTTAAGTTACTGTCTTACTCCCATGTAATACCATGTAGAATGTAGCTACACCAATTTATTCCAAAAAGGGAAAAAATTGGAGATGGAAATGCATTATTTGTTACCTGTCTCACAATTCTGTCCTTATTGAAAGCTCTTGTTTTAGACTTTGTTGTTTTCTAAACCATTCTTAATAGATCTTCCTCTTTTAAATGAATTTCCAGTTCCAGTTTCAAAACTGAAAGGCAGCTGGTGCAAAGTATCTTCTCTCCTACATCTACACAAGCACACTGCACATAGCAAGTACTAATTGTTAAAAGAGAAGCCAGCAACCACAGTGGAGACCAGCAAATCTGGTGCTAAGTGCTACGGTCATTAAGTGGAAAAATCAGACATATGATTTCACTTCCGCTTTGGTCATTAAACACAACATTCCAAGACCTTACAATTTTACATCCACGTTCCCTAGTAATTCTTGTCACAAGCTGTTTGCGAAGCACGTGAATAATGATCTGATGGCCACAGATTGCGATTGTAAAAGTGAGGATTGGTCACGAAGCTTTTTTTTTTTTACACTATTGTAACTTGAAAGTTACTAAAAAAGGTAATCATTAAATAAGGATTACCTTTAATCTCTATTCTAGGCTCCTTTACAGACTTTAAACATTTATTTTATTACAAGGTCTTTTTGTTGTTAGTTGCGTAGTCGTGTTCGACCCACCACGAACCCATGGACAACGCTCCTCCAGGCCTTCCGGTCCTCTACCATAAGGCTAACCAGAATTCTCCACCCTATTTCCCATCTGCCTCTACCCCCCCCCCCCAAATCAGCTAGCAACAAGATCTGATGGGTGAGCAGCAACTGTGTGCTTTGAAACTGAGGTCGACTGTCGAGGCCTCTTCCTCCATGGATTGAAGGCATCTTGGAGACACACTGGGATAGGAAGCAGGGTTGTAGTTCTCCTTCTGGTCCATGACTCCCCTTGTTTCCTCTGATCCCAGCAAAGTGGCAGACAGTTCTGCAAGTGAGGGGAAGAAGAGGTGGTGGTTTCAGTGGAGCCCTCTGAGAAAAGGGGAAATGATGCCAGCCTATATTACATCTGGAAACAAGAGTGACCCAATGGATCATGGGATGTCTACTGGAATCTTAAAAATTGCCTCATGCAGGGGGGCAAATAACCTAACTAGACTGAGAGAAAATGAATAACAGTAGCAGTGAGAAATATAAAGCAGTGACAAGTTGTTCGCAATATTTTAAGGACTCCATACTGTTACATTTTGTTTCACAACTTCAGCTTTTCTTCTCAACTATCAAAAAAAATGTTTACTCAATGTGAACATATTAATTTAGTTTGTGATACAAAGCAAATTCACAAATAAATATATCTGCCTATAATCATAACAAATCCCATGCCAACTAATTTTGTGAAAGCATTTCAAATAATTCCATTCCAGCAGGGCTAATGATGAAGCACAATTCTCTCTCTACAGTTGCAATAGTGGAGGATGAAAATCAGAAGAGGTTGTAGAAAGCATAAATCAACTAACATGCACACAGGAAAAGTATTTGTAAAAAGTGAACGTTTTGCCTACCCAATGCTAGCTTAACACTGTCACTTTGTTTTAAATAATTACAGTGGGGCAAAAATGTATTTAGTCAGCCACCAATTGTGCAAGTTCTCCCATTTAAAAAGATGAGAGAGGCCTGTAATTGTCATCATAGGTAGACCACAACTATGAGAGACAAAATGAGAAAACAAATCCAGACAATCACATTGTCTGATTTGGAAAGAATTTATTTGCAAATTATGGTGGAAAATAAGTATTTGTTCACCTACAAACAAGCAAGATTTCTGGCTCTCACAGACCTGTAACTTCTTCTTTAAGAGGCTCCTCTGTCCTCCACTCATTACCTGTATTAATGGCACCTGTTTGAACTTGTTATCAGTATAAAAGACACCTGTCCACAACCTCAAACAATCACACTCCAAGCTCCACTATGGTGAAGACCAAAGAGCTGTCGAAGGACACCAGAAACAAAATTGTAGACCTGCATCAGGCTGGGAAGACTGAATCTGCAATAGGCAAGCAGCTTGGTGTGAAGAAATCAACTGTGGGAGCAATAATTAGAAAATGAAGACATACAAGACCACTGATAATCTTTCTCTATCGGGGCTCCACGCAAGATCTCACCCCGTGGGGGTCAACATGTTCACAAGAACGGTGAGCAAAAATCCCAGAAGCACACGGGAGGACCTAGTGAATGACCTGCAGAGAGCTGGGACCAACGTAACAAAGGCAACTATCAGTAACACACTACGCCGCCAGGGATTCAGATCCTGCAGTGCCAGACGTGTCCCCCTGCTTAAGCCAGTACATGTCCGGGCCCGTCTGAAGTTTGCTAGAGAGCATTTGGATGATCCAGAAGAGGATTGGGAGAATGTCATATGGTCAGATGAAACCGAAGTAGAACTGTTTGGTAGAAACACAACTCGTCGTGTTTGGAGGAAAGAGAATGCTGAGTTGCATCCAAAGAACACCATACCTATTGTGAAGCATGGGGGTGGCAACATCATGCTTTGGGGCTGTTTCTCTGCAAAGGGACCAGGACGACTGATCCATGTACAGGAAAGAATGAATGGGGCCATGTATCGTGAGATTTTGAGTGCAAACCTCCTTCCATCAGCAAGAGCATTGAAGATGAAACATGGCTGGGTCTTTCAGCATGACAATGATCCCAAACACACTGCCCGGGCAACGAAGGAGTGGCTTCGTAAGAAGCATTTCAAGATCCTGGAGTGGCCTAGCCAGTCTCCAGATCTCAACCCCATAGAAAACCTTTGGAGGGAGTTGAAAGTGTGTTGCCCAGCGACAGCCCCAAAACATCACTGCTCTAGAGGAGATCTGCATGGAGGAATGGGCCAACATACCAGCAACAGTGTGTGCCAACCTTGTGAAGACTTACAGAAAACGTTTGACCTCTGTCATTGCCAACAAAGGATATATAACAAAGTATTGAGATGAACTTTTGATAGACCAAATACTTATTTTCCACCATAATTTGCAAATAAATTCTTTCCAAATCAGACAATATGATTGTTTGGATTTGTTTTCTCATTTTGTCTCTCATAGTTGTGGTCTACCTATGATGACAATTACAGGCCTCTCTCATCTTTTTAAGTGGGAGAACTTGCATAATTGGTGGCTGACTAAATACTTTTTTGCCCCACTGTATACAAGTTCAGATTTTTTTCTACAGGGACCTAAGCACGAAATCCACCTTTATTTGCAGGTAGAAGAAAGAATATAATAGATGTCCATTTTTAATACATTGTTTCATGTCTTTGAACTTAAAACACAGACAAGAAGTAAGATAATAACCATGCTTACAAGAGTTCAGTGCAGGTAATTTTTTCATTGCTATCCACTGTTAAGTCTGAATGAATATCATTGTCATTAGCAAATAATCGGCAGGGTTTAAAAAAAAAGCATACTGAAAGAGTTAAAACAGACAGTAAAAAGACACTAAAACCATTATAAACTCAATAAAAGCTAGCTATCAGAACCAATATAAAGGTAACCAGTGCTTTTTTTCCAAAAAAAAAAAAAAAAAGTGCTGGAACTCACACGTCATACAACCCGCCTTGCCTACCCTATAAGGTTCAATCCCAAAAAGGTGCCGGAACTCCGTTTTGGGTGTTCTATGAGAAAAAAAGCCCTGAAGGTAACACGAAATAGCTTTTCAAGACTTTTTAAATCCTCTTAAAATTCTATCATCTGGAACCCAATTGTTGGCCTACCACTGAAAAAGTATCTTCCTCAAATTCACCAATCACAGGTATGTTGGAAAAGTGGATTTTAGCATGTTTAAACATTTTTAAAAGTTACTTGAAAGTCACTTAAGTTTTTATATTTTAAAATCAGCACCAAACCCTTAGACTTGGAATTAAATTAGAAACCTATGCAACTATGTAATAAAGGTATCATTGACAAGTTGGAATTTTCCAGCAGATTCCCTACATTGACTGGTTTAAATTGCAGTTTTGTTCATTGTTCCTTCTATACTGTAAGTGCCAAGATACTGGTTCAAAATCTTATATTGGAGTCATTATAAAAGTCAGGTCTAAATAAGCATCAAGTTTAGGTAGAAATGGAGAGTTTCAGATAGATGTCTAAAAGCAGAGAAACAGCATTTCAATGGGGTGAAGAAAAGCTCATTCATCACTACTTTCTAAAACTTTCAGCAGAGTGGGAAACTTTATACTTTTTCCTCTCGTCCTGTAGCAGCAATTCTATTGTACTATAATTATGAAAAGTATAAATTATAGAACAGAGTGAACAATTTTCATGGTAACTACAACTGAAACAGCTAGTAATCTCTAGCAATCTAGCCAGGAACAAGGAATACACTCCTACTGTAGAATTAATCTTACATGCTTATAAATATTTCTCCATCATTCAATAATTTTTCAACTTGCTGTCAACATCCAGCTCAAAAATCCAAATAAAACTCCAGATTAATTTCGTTTCCAAAATCTTAAGGTTTATTGAATACCCCGCATGGTTATGTTGAATCAAAACTAACTCTGAGGCTCCCATGCCAGTTCATAGACTTAAACAATAGTTTTCCAAGCCAAGCCCCCAAGGTCTTATGCAATCCATATCAACAAGTCCACTTTGTTATGGGAACCATCAGCTTCAAATCTATACTTGTTCTAGTGTCCTTGACAAGGCTTCAGACTCCCATGGTCTGCAGATGAATCAAAGAAGTTTCATTTCTCCATCTACCCACTTGAAAATAACACCTCTCATCCCCTTATCTAAGGCAAGTTTAAATACAGAGGCAAGTAACTGCCAAAGTTTCACACTTGACATTGGCTTTCTTATATTGAAGGCAAAATCCTTGATGCATTGTAGACTATTGTGATACTTTCCCCAAAGTATTGCTTTTATAGTTTAGTAATTTACATTTGATGCTGACAAAAGGAAAACTAAAGCAACTTAGGCAGCTGTCTGCCTGCTTATAGATGGGGAAATGACAAATATTCGTTAAAGTTGCAAAGAAGCTAGCTATTTGAAAAGACATTGTCTTTTTAATGAGTATTGAAAAAATTTATTTGGGGAATGTTAAAAGGAAATACAATATTATGAACAATCACAATCCAGGCCTGGTCCCTATGTTTCTGTTTGTTTTATAATTACAGTATTTACAGATTGAATAAGGCACTGGTTCTCACATGGACACAAATCAGTATCGTTAAAAAAAATCACATCAATCTTCCTTGAACTGCATTAACAAACATTAAATCATTATTCATCTCAAACTTCCTATCCTCTCAATGTAACTTATAGTCAGACAACTTTTTTTTGGTATTCTTTGAAGAAATTGAAACAATCATGTCCAGGCATTCTCCCCTTTGGCCTGATATAAATTTGTAGTCATGAAATATAATAGGTCCATAGATAAAATATCCACTGAGGACAGCAGTTTGAATCATTCATACCTGACTCTATGTGCAATTCACTTTTGGAACAAAACGAAGAAAATTATATGGTATGTTTTCATGGCTTTTTGTTTTCAGATCACAGTATCAGTGTGAAGATTCACTATTGTGTTTTCATAAGTTAAAGTTTTATTTCCACTGTTATTGGCTATTTTATAACACCTTACATTTAATATCCCAAATCCCAACAATTTGAGATACAAACAGATATATATATATATATTTAAATCCAGGCACCTGGACAGATGTACTGTAAATCACACAAATATTCAACTTGAGGATATTGTCACTTGAAGACCATTTCTTTCAAAAACAGATTTTGATTAAAAAATAGCTTTAAGGTTAGCAGTGAAATGATTTACAGATTTTGAGACTTTTAGAAACATTTTGAGAGAAAGACATAAAGGACTTTCTTTGAGCCCTGAGAGGATTTGACTTGATAAGTCAATTATTGTGGACATTTATTCCAAAATTTCCGAAGTAACATCTGCAAATTCTGGTAGTTTGCTAATTAAGACTAAGTGGTAAAGAATAACTACATATGGAAACAATGAAGATAATGCAACCTGACTAGAAATATTGTGTAGGGGCCAATAGGTTTCCTTAGCACTTTATTCTACTTTGAAATGGAATATTTTTCTACAAGTTATTAACATGTACTTTAAGTTAAGGAATATACCCAAATTAAATTGAGGGATCTGTACCTCCGGGGAATGAAAGATATCTTGGAGATATGCAGTTTAATTGCAGTAGTTTAACCCAGGTATGATGCAATCAGAGTTTAAATTGGTTATATATCTCTTGGTTCAAACCATGTAGACGATTCTTTAGAGATTTGAATTCTTAGCTTCCATTAAGCTAATCACAATCATGGCTTGGGTAATTTATGGAAGCCAGCTGTCAAGACACAAGGCACCCAGGAGAAAGAAGAGTACAACTTATGAAGAGACTTGGTTTGTGCATGATCAACTCTGCTTTGGAACAGAAGTGTTCATGTAAAAGCAGCTAATAGCTTCAGAAGTCAAATTGCTTTTAGAATAGCCTATAAATTACTCCAAATCAATGAGAATAAGTCATGCTTAACTGAATGCAGCAGTAAGTCCATACAGGTTTTAAAAGCATGGAGGCTCTGTGCTGTATTTAATTAATGAATCTTTCTAGTTGGCTTTGTTTACTTCGAGAAATTCCTTCATATTACTAAAAGTGTCATTGTAAAAGGATGCACTAGTGAACACGGTCCATCCAAATATAGCATATTCATCTCTGAAATTCAGTGTTAGAAATAATTTTTAACTATCGTTTATATTTGCTTTCATTCCAATAATTTATACCAAGGTAACTTCGCTTACATCCATGCATCTTACAAAGAGAAAGGAAATTCAGTAGTTATCTGACCTGTAGAATTCTAACAATTTCATAGATGATTGGTTTTAAAAATGTCCTATTAATACATTGCTTTTAGAATGACAAAATGCATGGTGCCTCCTAGTTTTCAATTTCTCTCAGTGAAAGGCAAGGCAGAAAATCTCAGGTCCTCAAATCTATATTTTCCCACTCTATTTTGAAAACCCAACCAATCTGTGGTTCTATCATTTAAAATTACTCCTCAGACAAATTGCTTTAAAAATTACATCAACATTAATATGAATATGAGAAACTTTTATTAAATTTATATGTTCCCATCTCACAGTCTACAGCATCCCTGGGCAGCTAAGAAATATTTGGAGCAGGTGTATCTTTCTTATATGTATTCCATTTACTGTTTTGTGAATTTTTTTAAATGAGCAATTCTTTTTAAGATAGTTCATCAAAAGGTAGAAAATTATACACATTCTGAAACAAGATTAAGACAGGCTGAGATCCATGTTTAAAACTATTTCTGCCATATACTGAAACTAGCAAAATGTGTTTAAAAATGCAAAATTGAGAGAAAGCATCACAGGAATTCTGAAATATGTAGACATTTGCATCTTGGCTCAAAATCTTAAATAACATTATCCTTTTTCACCTAAACTATGGGATTCTTGTAAGGGATTAGCATTGTCCAATTTATATATATTTTTAAAAAATAAATAAATAAAAAGAAACATGGAGAAAAGTTTTTTCTCTAGGAACATTTCTATCAACACAGTTTATTTTAGCACAATTACCTTAAGGCAAAAAGTTTTTAATGCAATTTTGGGAACAGTTTCATTTATTATTGAAATGCTAGTGAGAATACACAAGTTCAACCTTTAACAAAAGTTCTGTAAGACATTCCTTTCAAAACACGGAGTGTAAAATGCCAAAAAAATAGTCAAAATGACCCCAAGGGCACAGGCCTCTGTCAGAATAACTTGCATAAGTCCCATTAAGTGAATAACTATATCCTGATATCACTCTCATATTTCCAGGAGTAGAGGATACACCCTATGGGTATGACCAAAACCCATGTTTCTACAAGTATCACAACTAGGAACTGGCTAAGAAAAATGTGTTGTGATGACATGCTCCTGCAAGTTTCGTGAATGTAAAATATTAAAAAGTTATGCACAGGAACTGCATGACAATATCTTGTGTATTCAAGGCACTGCTTGGCTGCAATTTCATGAGCGAGCCTATTTTCCAGGTGTAGCATGCATCCTACATAACAAGTTAAAATTGGATTTGGGTCATTTTAAGAGTGCAACACATTTTTCCATCAGTAGAAAGTAATAGGACTTTGGATGCAATTTTGTTTTTTGTGGGGCTTTTTTTTTAGCGTTAGAAAATAATTATTTCCTTGGACTTTGTAACTGCAATGATTCATTTCCATGAAAATTAAAAACTTCAAATATTAATAACAATATTAATAATAAAGGCTTTCACAGAAAGCAGCATATATAGTCTAGAAACAATTATCGATACATTGGCTTGCTTCAATCTCCAAGGAGGCTGAACGTCTTCTTTGTCCGGTCATACAGGAAACAAAAAATTCTCAACTGGGCCATGTTTCTTTCCTCTGGAAAGGTTTCTGCCCCAGTGGGCAAATACTTTGCCAAAATCTGCATTCAAGGTTCATATTACCGAAGGTATGTCATTCTTCTTCCTGTCTCTTTGAGACACAGAAGGAAAGTCCATTTTTTCTGAGCTTTAGCTTTTGTTAGCTGACTCAAAGCTTAATGTCCTGTGACTCTGACATTTTGGCAAGTGTTTTCTTTACTCGCAAGGCTGTCAGCCGAGAAGCCGGGTTGTGAGCCCAGCATTCAGTCATTAATTTTCTCATTTGTCGTAGGCACTGTGAAAAAAAAATAGGTATATATATTAATCTCTCTCTCTCATATCAAGAATATTTCAATGGCCAATATTACATATTTGGAGTTATAGACGGAACACTTCAATATGACTGAAAAATCTATTCTAAATAAAAGAACTCCTGTGAGCAAGGACATTTACATGAAAACAGTCACATTATTTGCTCTTTGCTCTGATTATGTAGATGTTACTAGATCTTTGTATATAATTCTGTTTAGACTTGGCCTCCGAGAGATTCCCATTCTCCTTCAAAATGAGACGACATTTGTTCTCAAAGCATTTGATGGTTTTACATCAAACCACAATCTGTGAAGATTACACCAAAACTTTCTAAGACAACTGTAGTTAGGACAAATACCCTGGTTCTCTTCCAACATGTATTCAATAGCATCATATCTCTTAAAATGTTGGGGACAGGAAGATATTTCAGGGGCTGGTTTGAACTTATAATAAGAAATATGCAACTTATAGAACATAACTACTCAGTTTCATGCAATTTAAAACCCCGAATTTCTAAGTTAAATTGCTGAAGATTACAAAGAAGTCAGAAAATGTAGTAAATAAACATCTCTGTGGAATTTTTGCAATTTATTACATTTTTTCACTTTTTTAAAAAGCCCACTTTGCCTATGCTCCCACCATCACTCACTCAAGATTGTTTACAACTCTTGCCATTTTTAAGTCTTTTTAAATCTAATTGCAGAATACTTAAGCAAAGACTGCTATTCCCAAATCACAGCTGTCTCCTACAATAATAGCATTACACTGTACCACTTAACAAGATTAATGACCTCTGCATAGCATCACCATAACTGTCGGCAGATTTGTCTGCAATACATCAATTACTGGTCTGCTGATTCCAAAACACAATTTTGCTTCATTATAAATTCTCAGTGGAAAGTGTACAGACTTTCTCCCTCCTCCCCTTAAGGAAAATATCAGTATATTAGCTTCAGAAAAGCAATTTCCCATATTAATTTACAAAAGTAGAAATAAGGAGCAGAAAACTCAATCCATTCCATTTGAAGAGCTACTCTGCTATTTAGTCAGCTTGTACAATAATGTATATGTATCCATGTTCTACAAAGAATTTAGCTAGGACTGTGTCTGGGAGAATATAAAGGGCACATAAAAAACCACAATTCCCTAGATTCCTTCTTTGAAAAGTAGGAGATCCTTATATCATATGAGCCAGTAGTTATCCAGCCTAGGCTCTCGTCTTCCTACTTATCAATCCATCTCAATTCCTTATCACGCAAAGTTTGGCCATTCTAGTTAGGAATTCATAGGGTTAAACCCAAGTTGAAGAATTTGACCCATTTGGTTAACAGTGTACTAAAAGCTAGTACACTGAAATGGGTTGGATGCCTAGAAATGGGTTGGATGGTTGTTTTGTTCATGAGAACAAACTATTACAATATTTCAAGCAAATATGTCAAACCACTGGAGCACACTAGAGTATAAAAATTACAAATACTTTTATTGATTAAGGTAACAGTGCTCTTAAGTTCAACCTGACTCCTACTCAACAACAATCCATCAATGCTTTAGAAGGGATGTTTTTTTTTTAAATTTCTCACTCTAAGCCACACCTCTGGTTTTCCATTATGATTAGGGTTAGAATCTATTTTTTGTGCCTACATTTTATTAACAATTTTCAAAAACATTCAGTACAGGTAGTCCTTGACTTACAACTGTTCATTTAATGACCGTTCAAAGTTACAACAGCATTGAAAAAAGTGACTTGTGACCTTTTTTCACACTTATGACCCTTGCAGCATCCCCATGGTCACGTGACCCAGATCCAGACGCTTGGCAACTGACTCATATTTATGACGGTTCCAATGTCTCAGGGTCATGTGATTCCCTTTTGCAACCTTCGCTCAATGGGGAAGCCAGATTCATTTAACAACTGTGTTATTAACACTGATTCACTTAACAACTGTGGCAAAAAAATGTTGTAAAATGGGGCAAAATTCACTTAACAATTATGGTCGTAAGTCATAAGTCAAGCACTACCTGTAATGGATTGACTGAAGAGAAAATGCTTACCTAACGTATGGGTAGTGTCCTAACATTTAGGTATTCCTTTTCTTCATTTTAAGCATGTGATTCAAATTTTTTAAAAAATACACAAAAATTTTCAATTTTTTTTTTAAATGGTCTCCTTACCTCATCACTACTCCATCTGTTGGGAAATGAAGGCCGTAATCTCTTGATACATACTATTTCTCTCATGTCTTCATATGAAGGGTCACTGGAAACAAGGTCATGATAAGGAAGCTGATATTCCTCAAAAATACCTAGCAGAGAAAACCATTTGGCAAATATATAAATTATGTCCAATTGAACATTCCTGTGGGGTTAAGAACTTACAAATTTAACTAAATTCAACATAGATATGGATAGCAGCAGAAAAAAAAATCAATCTATAGTTTATTCTCATCAATATGGTGAAAGAGAATTTTTTGTAGAAAGTTGCTCTGGAAATCAAGAAAGACACATAGTGATTCTTTGAAGCAGATTTATCAATTCACACCTATAGATAAAATCTTGCCTAACTGAAGCAGACTATACCTACATGAAACAAATACTCTGGGAATATTGGGCAGAGGCTGCCTTCACCCCTCTCTAATTATTCGTCATCAAAGATGATGAGCCTTTGGGGCGCATTGGTTAGAATGCAGTATTGCAGGCAAACTCCACCCACAGCCTGGAGTTTAAGCCTTCCATCCTTCCAAGGTCAATAATATGAGGAATCAGATCGTTAGGGACAATATTCTGACATTTGTAAACCGCCCAGAGACTGCTGTAAAGCACTGTGAGGCAGTATATAAAACTAAGTGCTATTGCTAAAGCTGAAGGCAAATCCCATTACCAAACCTTTAGAAATAAAATTAGGACCTGGTCTTTTCCAAGATTAATCTGTCCTAACTTTTAGTAATTGAAAGTGCTACCAAAATGCCCAACTTCCTTTTTTAGGTGACTTCAGATTATTAGAATAGATCTACATGCTATGCCCCTTTAAAAAGGATACTACCATATGCCGATTTCAGTTTACAAACATTTAAACATTAAACAGTCATAAGAAAAAGAACAGAATAAAATAAAATAAAAATTAGGATTAGCATTCCAAATCTTCCTGAATCTAGAATTAATTTTCTATCAGGATACGTGTTCCCTCCGACACACTTGCAGGCCTTCTAAAGCCAAAATAACACCTGTAGTGCCTATATTTCTGCTCTTAAATTTAATTTCCTTGTTAATCATGGTACCTAAGTAAAATCAACCTCATTGTATTTTTGCTCAAACAACAGCTGTGCTCTTGCTTTAGCAGTAATTTTTATAACCACAAGAGTTGCCATAAATGAACTCCAAATTCCCACTACAATTATGAAATATGGCATCTTTAAAAGAGTCTATTAAAATAGAGAATAAATCTTTATGGGCTAAGTAAGACCTTCCAGAAAAGGATTAATAAGTCTCAAGAGTAGAAAGGGACTTAGTTTAGTGTCACCAATTATTTTTAAAAAGCTATTATAATTCTTTTTCTTTCTTGTTAAAAAAAACCCCAAATGTTTTCTGGAGAATAGTTTGTGTTAACCGGCTGCAGCAAAAATAAATTTTATGGCACCTTAAAAATCTAATTACAGGTAGTCCTTGGCTTACAAACCCATTTGTTTGGCAACCGTTCAAGGTTACAAGGGAAGTGAAAAAAATGACTTACAACTGGTCCTTGTATTTATAGTCCAGTGATGGCGAACCTTTTAGAGACCAAGTGCACAAAAACTGCCCCACCCGCAGGGCCACTTACTGCCTCCACAGCCCGCTGCAGATTGCCCAGGTGCCCCTGCAGAGCCATGGTGGCCCACACCCCACAGCATTATCCACACATGATGGGACGCAAGGGCAGAGTCTTGTCCCTACTGCCCGATTGCCATATCCTTGGCTGTGCTGCTCCATGAGGGGATGCACCCTCTGGCAACTCTCCTCTGGAGGGGCTGCTGGTGAGGAGGGGGCTGGGGCAACGGCACGCGTGCCCAAAGAGGGGGCTTTCGGTGCCGCCTCTGGCACACATGCCATAGGTTCGCCACCACTGTTATAGTCCCTGCAATCATATGATCAAAATTTGGGCTTTTGGCAGCTGGCATATATTCATGATGGCTGCAGCATCCTGGGATCATGTGAATGTCATCTGTGATCTTCCCAGCTAGCATTCCAACAAGTAAGCCGACAGAAGAAGTCAGACTTGGTTAACTTAAAAAACTGCAGTAATTCACTTAACAACTATGGTAAATAAGGTCGTAAAAGTCAAGGGTGACTTGTTTAACAACTGCCTTGCCTTGACCTAGTGGTGGTCATTAAGTCGAGGACTACATGTAATACATTCCAACATGAACTTTGTGCTGTAGATACTGAAAGCTGATAATGTACTGTTAAAGGCATGCAGCCATGCCTAAAATATTTACCTCCGGAAACACATCTCCTTGCTATTTCCCAAAGGATGAGTCCAAAGCTGTACATATCAGCCATAATATATGACTGAAAGTGATTTCGATTCAAGCTTTCATCCAGCACTTCTGGAGGCATGTAACGTTTGGTTCCCACTCTGGTGTTTGGTGGGATATCCACTTCATTTGTATCACTGTAAAATGGGGGGGGGGGAATGTTTAAAGACACAAAAATTAAGTATGCAGTTTCTCTTCAAAAACCAAAACTGCTATTAAAAGAGAAACACCCACTCCTTTTCAAATTAAAACTGTATCTATGCAAGCCAGAATTAACAGATAATCTCAATGGAAATTATTCCTACAGAGAAAGCTTGTGAAGTGTTAACCAAATGCTCATTTTTAAACACTATCCTTACCTAACATTACATTAAGCGTTCAATTGCAAAATTGAGAATTCATCAGAGGATGCTGGAGATTTTTCTGAGAGTTTGTGGGCAAGAAATTGGAATTCTGATGCTGGGGTTTATAATTTTATTTCTCTTACAAGTACCTTAAGATGCCTCAGATGCTAAGGCTTTCATGGAAGGTAGCAAAAAACTAAAGAATTACTCTTCATAATCTTAAAGAAGATATGGATATAAGATACATAGCTAATAAAAATGTTTAGTAACAGAACCATCTATATTAATGTGTTTGCATCACCATCAGAATCAGAACTGAAATGGAAGGGACCTTGGAGAACCACTTCAGACAAATGGTTCTCCTTAAAAACTTCCAATGATGAAGCACCTACAACTTCTGAAGGCAAGCCGTTCCACTGGTTATTATTCCCACTGTTAGGAAGTTTCACCTTAATTCCAGGTTGCTTCTCTCGATTAGTTTCTTTCCATCGTTTCTCATCCTGCCTTCTGATGCTTTGGAAAATAAGTTGACTCCCCTTGTCTTTGTGGCAGCCCCTCAAATACTGCAATACTGCTATCATGTCACCCCTACTCCTTCTTTTCACTAGATTAGACATACTCAATTCCTGTAACTGTTCTTCATATGTTTTAGTCTCCAGGCCTTTAATCATCTTAGTTGCTCTTTCCACTTTTTCCAAAGTCTTGACATCGTTTTTGTAACATGGTGACCAAAACTGGATGCAGTATTCCAAGTGTGGCCTTATCTCACATGCACCTGTGCTGTGGCAGTATAATTCAAACTACTGAAGAGACAGTCTTCATTTGAAAATATATTAGTTGAAACTGATTTATTCTTGTGACACCACAAAATTCACACACCCTGCCACTCCTTCTAGTGGGTAGTATCATCATAGGAGAGCTTCAAGTGCCCTTCTGAAATGGTACTTCTCAAAATTGTTCACTCCTACCACAAAAGACTGGTTGCTAGAGAGGATGGACAGAATTTCAAGGATCTACAGTATATAACATTCTCCCTTTTTTCTCTTTAAAAAAATGTTTAACAGACGTAGCTTCATTAAGGCATGCAGTATTTTACCCACCTAATGAATTTAACCGCCAGACCAAGATCTGCTACACAGCAAGTTCCATTTTTCTTCACCAGAATGTTTTTACTTTTGAGGTCCCGATGAGCAATTGCTGGTTTGCCTTGGGTGCTGAAGATCTCAGTATGCAAGTGGCACAGTCCACTGATAGAGGAATATGCCAATTTCAGCATTGCTTTTGTATCCAAGGTAGTAGATTTTAGATAATCATACAGAGATCCGTTTTCATGATAATCGGTGATAAGATAAAGCTGTGTCCAAGATCCGGTTCCTTTAATATCTGCAGCAATGAATCCTGTAAGAGAAAATTAAAACAAGACTTTTCTAAAAGATAAAGGTAAAAGGTTGCCCCTATCTAACTCTAGGGAGCAGTGCTCATCTCCGTTTCTTAGCTAAGGGAGCCATCATTGTCTGAAGACACTTCTGTGATCGTGTGGCCAGCATGACAATATGCCAAAGGAGCATGGAACACCGTTACCTCCCCATTGAAGTACCTATTTATCTACTCACTTTTGTATGTTTTCAAATTGTTAGGTGGGTGGGAGCTGGGGCAAGTAATGGAAGCTCACCCCATCACATAGCGCTCAGATCTCAAACCCAGCTTTCAAGCTGACAAACTCAACATCTTTAATTGCTGAATCATTGTGCCCCTTAAGACTTTTCTAATATCATTAGTAATTTTAAGAAACAGAAAACCCAGATCCCCTAGCACAGTGATTCTCAACCTTTCTAATGCCGTGACCCCATAATACAGTTCCCCATGTTGTGGTGACCCCCAAGTGGGTATGGCCACCAATAAGAGGGAGTAGGACAGCTAGGGAAAAGGGAAAAAAATGGCGGACAACATGGTTTGGTGACCCCCGTGAAATGGTCATTCGACCCCAAATGGGGTCCCGACCCACAGGTTGAGAACCACTGCCCTAGCACATAAACATTTAAATGGCATAAAATTTAATTACAATAAATCCTTAGCATTGCAATGTAGCACCCTATTCTCAGTACAGTTCATTAGAATGTGATAGATTCTGAATTCTTTGTATTTAATCCAAAAGTACATTAATATATTAAACTGTATAATAACACCATTATTATCAATACTTAAGGTTATTAAGAAATTGTAGGACAGGTTTGTATTAGAGTAAGATTTGCAGCCAACACATTGTAAACATAATTTGGTGTCCAATATATCTGAAAAAAATATCAGTCTCATCTTAATATCACAATATCACATACTCCATAGGTCTTTTAGCCATTAGATAGTCTATTTTAAAAATAGTTTTTATTCCAAGATTCTTATTCATATAATTTACAATAATTTTAACTCAGCTCAGTCACATCAGGAAAATTAATGCTTTTATTTAATTGCCATGTGATCTTTACTAAAAAGCATTTGCTTCTGAACTAATGAAAGCTTTTTCTGTAGAGGAAGATCTGGAACTATCAGTATCTTCTTCGTTTTCTATTCAAGGATTCCAACTTTTTATGACAAACGCAGAACATAGTCCCGTACTATAACTCTTTGAAATCTCACAAGAACGCTAGATTATATGAAAAAAAAAATGGAAATAGAAGCCCAGCTATAAACAGTTTCAGTTGCAAGCTTATATTCTGGCTGCAATGATAAAAAAAAAACTTAAATACTCATTTTTCCTTGAAAGGAAAACGGTAAAATCTGAAAGAAAGGTAATAGCCATAGAAATAGTGCTTTACAGCCCTTTCTAAGCAGTTCAGAGTGTCAATATATTGGCTCCAACAATCTGGGTCCTCATTTTACTGACTTTGGAAAGATGGAAGGCTGAGTCAACCTTGAGCTGGTGAGATTCAAACTGCCAAACTGCTGGTAGCCAGCAGTCAGCAGAAGTAGCCTGCAGTACTGCATTCTAACCATTGCGTCACCAAATATATTATTTTTCTTTCTGTTTTATCTTTCTGCTTAAAAGCAATGCTCAACCTCATGGAAAGGGTAACTTACCTCGAGCTACAATCAGGCTGGAAACAAAAGTGAATAATTATTTTTCCATCCCCCTTTTTGCTTTCTTTTTTCTGTTTTCTCTCCTTTACCCCTTACTCCCAATTTGGACTGTCAGGGAGAAAGAGACAGTTCTTCCCAAGTTGAAAACTAATTATTTGTGAGTGCTGTCGTTCTTCCCATTGCTCCATTCATGGCATTATTTCTATCCTTTCCAAGGTTTTAACAAAGTGCATTATATCTCCTTCTGTCATTCTGTCCATTGCAGTCCCCATACACTCCATAGACTGCCTGTCTCTTACTCTTTATATTATGTAGTGTTTTTCTTTTGTCTCCCTTGAAATGAAATGACTGTGTCAGAAGATGTGGGTGATGGAAACAAGCTCTCATTTTTCTTCTCTGTGTATTTTAATTCAAAACTAGAGTCTTATGTTTTGGTCCCAGGTCTTTAACTTTAAGGCAGGGGTCTTCAAACATAGCCCTTTTATGACTTGTGGACTTCAATTCCCAGAATTCCTCAGCCAGGCATGCTGGCTGACGAATTCTGGGAGTTGAAGTCCACAAGTCATAAAAGGGCCAAGTTTGAAGACCCCTGCTAAGGGAAAATAACATTTGTCAACATGTTTACTAGTGGTATTGATGCTTCTGGTATGGGTTTTTTTTCTTCAACTTCTTCAAAGTTCAATTTAAATAAAAAATTTCCTGAGCTGGGATTAAAGTAGGAGTTAGAGGAATGTATCTGCATTTTCCATAGTTCCCAAGGTACTAAGACCTGGAATCCATTTCTGGTCTCTATGCTAAAGGAAGTCAGAAAAGTAAGATTGGTTTACTGTCACAGATGAGAATGGTTTGAGCTGTTATCTTGCTGAATTAGAGCATTTTAAGGCTAAGATGTGGAATATAACATTTTCACCAAAGTCATCCTGCTTTCTCCAGATTGTTCTATAATTTACTTTCTTTCTAAGTACAAAATCTTACATGTACAAAATGTACACCCTGGGGTTTTTAGATTTATTATACAAATCTAGAATTTAGCCCCAAACAGATAAATATAGATTAAAAGAAGAAAATCTAATTTTAAAAAATGATTTGAAATTTATTATTTCCCTTTGTTGTCTCTCAGCTGAGTACAGTATATAATGTTGTGGCTAAAACTGACAACATAAGAGATGATTTTGAATTCACTGGTACCTTTCCAGTTATTTCACTTGTGACTTGAAAATGGATTGAAAAAATTAACCTGCAATATGAAAATTACTTACATGGAATAAATGCCAATTATTTCATGCATATGGTTCCCAGCAGTGACCAGGCTATCTGTTTTTATAAAACAAATTAAAGTACCTGGTCTAGCGCCTAATCTTCAAAACCCACATAAGAACACCTAGTGTGTACTTTCTGCTGTAGTACTGTAGCAGTTTGTCATGTGGCTTTTTCTAAAATAATAAGCTGACATGGTTATGGGGCTATGTTAAAGCGAAGAAAATAAATAACACAGTTCTAATTCTCTCTCAGTTGCAAAGCATATGTTCAATTTTTACCTCTTTTTCAAGAGATAACAGCCAACATGTTCACCTCAGGAGAATAGTAACAAATAATTGAAACATATTTAAAATATTCCATAAAAAACGTTCAGTGTAGATGTAGTGATCCAGTTTCCCACTGGAAGTGATGCTCTAGGCCAGTGATAACAAACCTTTTAAACACCAAGTGCCCCAAAACCACCCTGCGCCGCCACCTGGTCCGCCCCTGCCCGATCCACCCTGCCCACCCACAGGGCCAACTACCGCCTCCATGGCCCACCACAGCAGATCACCCAGGCAGCCCTGCAGCACCATGGCAGCCACGCCTTCCGCCCGCGCCCCACAGCATCATCTGGGTGTGATGGGGTGTGAGGGCAGAGTCTTGTCCCTGCTGCTCAGCTGCCATGTCCTTGGCTGCACTGCTCTATGACAGCCATGCCTTGGGCGACTCTCCTCCGGGGGGGCTACTGGTCAGGAGGGGGCCGTGGGGGGAGGCAGGGCTGGGACAACCGCACTAGTGCCCATAGGTTCGCCACTACTGCTCTAGGCCATAAACTTAGGACAGTTAATGGACTTTTCAGCAAACCACCATAGAAAGAGCTGAGAAATGGCCGATTCAGTCAAATTAGTGGAAGACCAGCTTCAAAGCAGTAGCAGCTACTTCATCATAATAAAGTAGCAACAGGATGGATAACACCAACAATGTACTTGTTTTAAGAATCTAGCTCTATTATTAAATTACTAAAAATATTTATAATTATTAACAATTAAAATATCAAAACTATAAAAAAAACTTTGCTAAAGTAAAAAGCGGATGAAGACATGTTAACAATAGAGACCTCCGAAAGATCAGAAGGGATGAGGCCAACTTCACCTCAGGGGAAACAAGATCACAATGCAGAGATTACGTTTAGTTGTGCCACTCACCCAAAATATTTTCATGCCTCATCAGAACAGTCTGATAGATTTCTGTCTCTCGAAACCAGCTGGCTTCTTCGGTGGTAAAGAAAACTTTGACAGCCACTTTTTCTCCTCGCCACTTTCCCATCCAAACCTCCCCATAGCGACCTTTGCCAATCTGCTTCACCATCTGGATCTGTTTTGCTATAGTCCTCTGTACCTGTTAGAAAAATACGATGTTGGAATTATACCTACTTCCTACTAGACACAATTTTTGTAATTTCTCAAAGTTTGGAACTGTTTGCAAGAACTGATATTTTCTCTTGAGCTAATAGCATTTGGTCTTTGATCAATCTTGCAGGTCTGCCTTATCTAGTCCAGCATTCTTTTCTCATTGTGGCTGAAAGATACAGGTCAAAATATACTTTCAGTTGTGTTCACTTACAAATGATGCTCAGATATCTAGTGAGCTTCTATGATTAAGTAGAGATATGTGATTGAGTTTCCCTGGTCTTAGTCAATTCCTTAACCAAATGTTTCTCAACTTTAGCAACTTTAAGATGTCTGGACTTCAACTCCCAGATCAATTAGTCTAAAGTTATCTGCATAAAGATGCCTATCTAGTATTTTTACATCAAGTTCACCCTGAATATTCATTCAGTTGTGAATATTCAGCTGGAAAATGAGGACAAAGCTCACTTATAAGATTCAAATTCTTTCAACTTGTTTTGAAATGAAAATGAAGTTTAAAAATACAAAAATAAAATGAAATAAAGTTTCTGTAGTTTTAAAAATGGGCAAAATACAATCAAAATAATAAAACAAATGCAAGAACTGAAAACCTATATAACTGGGATCTTCTTAGCTCTCTGCCTGTAGCCTACAGATTATGTCCTATATTTTTCATGAAAGACTAATTCTGTTATTTTCTTTAGTTGAGATACAGTGCAAACAAATTGTGCAAATGATGAAGGTTCTTATACAGATTGACCATTGTAATTATGAGCTCAGTACTCTTTTCTTACCAATAGAGGGAGCCCTGAACCACTTCCTGAGCTCTGTGACTGCTCAATGAGGTCTTTCAAGGATTCGCCTGGTGGAATATAAGTCTCATCTTGTTCAAGTCCAATGCTATAATGAGAAGGTTGCCGTCTGCTTTCTAGCCTTTTATACCTGTGGGTATATATAAGAATAACTACACGTGATGCTACTAATAGTGGCTGGTCATGAAAGCAAGCAAAAGACTATGTTTCTACCTTTGTTCACTACCATTTTTCCATTGTTAAATGCTATGAATAATTCAGCATTTTAAGGCCTTCACGACCTGTTTCCCTATAAATTTCTACTCTTCTCATTATTATCATTATGTACTTACATTATATCTAATTACATTTAACAATGAGCAAAAATGTATTACCTTTGTAATAAACAGGGACAAGCACATGGCTGTCATGACAAACATTAAGTCCTGAGCTGCCTCCTTTATGAGGAAAAGGAGGCTAAAATCACTCCATACTAGCAGCCTGGGTGCAATCACAACTATCCTTGCAATGAAATTGAAAAACCCTATGCTGCCATGCAGCTGGGAGAATGGTAAAATACAAGATGTCAGGTCCACCCTTTGTATTCTGCTGTCCTGCTGTTGTGCTGGGGGGGGGGGGAGGATGGCATGCTTGGGACTTTTCTTGTTTTTGCTATTCGCTTGGGAATTAGGCAGGGGGACTGTCTTCAAAGATGGGACGGACTCCTTCCCAGCCTGTTTTTGCCAGATTCCAAGGCCGTCGTGCCCCGAGCATGAACTATTATCTGCCTAGCACCTCAGCATTCTCAAAACATCTTCTTGGCATCACATTGGCTGCCAGTGAACTGGTCAGGTCGGGCTGGGAATGGGAAACCAAAAGAATTGCTTTATGCTTTGCGCGGGGCCTTCGAATTCCACCTGACTTTACTGTACCCAATTTCTCTCAGTAAAAGTTCTTTTGATTCAAGTCAATGGATTAAGAATCTTACTTTTCTGAGGGCCCGGCTGGGTAAGGTCTGACACAAGCTCTCTGAGTTTGTTCTGAGCATAATAAGCAAGCCCTCATGTCTAGTCAGCTGTCCCAGTATACAATTCCCACACTATTTCCTATATTCTGGGATCAAGACTGATGAACAGAGATTGACTGAACAGGCCTCCATGAGAGGGAACTCTTCAACATGGTATATTTCAGTAATATGTACCAGTCTGTCCTCTCATTCACAATTAAATTATGTAAAGGGCTAGTGGCTAACACTATTTTCTAGTACATTTTTCACAACAACTGATCACTTCATGAGCGATCATGACCTGTAAATGTAAGTAATGTACAAAAGTACATAAAGGGATTAAAGTAAAAGCAAGTTTATATGTTACATAAAATATCTGAGACTTGGTAGAAAAAGAAAAAAGTGACAGGGATAAAAAAAGAAAAATCTATTCAAAGTGCCAAAGTATACAATGCAATCTAATCAAATTACACAATGGAGCTGCAAGAAATACTGTTATGAATAGAAGAGCCAAATAGGAATCGATCCTAATTAAATTGATGGAAAAAAACAGTGTATTCCAAAGAAAGTTTGGTCAGTTATTTTCCCCATGAATGAAAGTGCTTTATTTTATGCTATGTTGGTGGTAGAGTTGTCTGGAGGAACGTAACACTGCTAGTAAAACAAGTAAAAAAATATCTGCATTTCATTTTGCAGGCCAGCAGCTTTGCCTAATTTGTGTACTTTCAGATGTGAAGAATTTAGCTCACCAAATATCAGCAGTGGTTGCGTTAGCTCGGGAATTGAAGTCCATATGTCCTGAAGATCCCCAGATTGAGAAAATCTGGTCAGGTCAACCTTCTTGATAATATCCAATGGGGTTTATGCTATTTTATTTGTCGCTACCCTATCCAAGATAGGGTAGGAAAAGGATGATTTGGAAAACCTATGGGAAAATATGGCACACCTGCCAACACCTTCTTAAATCTGTTGGGAATACACAACTTCATAAGGGTTTTCTCTCTCTCTCTCTCTCTCCCTCCCTCCCTCTCTCTTCCTGCAAAAGGAAGGAAGGAAGGAAGGAAGGAAGGAAGGAAGGAAGGAAGGAAGGAAGGAAGGAAGTGTTCTTTTTCTAAGACACTATGTTATTCAGAAAGATAAAAACAGAAATGACAAAGACTTAAGCTTTAGGATTGTGCAGTGATCCAGATTCAATAGGAAAAGGATGATTTGCAATACCTATGGGAAAATATGGCACACCTGCCAACACCTTCTTAAATCTGTTGGGAATACACAACTTCATAAGGGTTTTCTCTCTCTCTCTCTCTCTCTCTCTCTCCCCTCCCTCCCTCCCTCTCTCTTTCTGCAAAAGGAAGGAAGGAAGGAAGGAAGGAAGGAAGGAAGGAAGGAAGGAAGGAAGGAAGGAAGGAAGTGTTCTTTTTCTAAGACACTATGTTATTCAGAAAGATAAAAACAGAAATGACAAAGACTTAAGCTTTAGGATTGTGCAGTGATCCAGATTCAATAGGAAAAGGATGATTTGCAATACCTATGGGAAAATATGGCACACCTGCCAACACCTTCTTAAATCTGTTGGGAATACACAACTTCATAAGGGTTTTCTCTCTCTCTCTCTCTCTCTCTCTCTCTCTCTCTCTCTCTCTCTCTCTCTCTCCCTCCCTCCCTCCCTCCCTCCCTCCCTCCCTCTCTCTTCCTGCAAAAGGAAGGAAGGAAGGAAGGAAGGAAGGAAGGAAGGAAGGAAGGAAGGAAGGAAGGAAGGAAGGAAGGAAGGAAGTGTTCTTTTTCTAAGACACTATGTTATTCAGAAAGATAAAAACAGAAATGACAAAGACTTAAGCTTTAGGATTGTGCAGTGATCCAGATTCAGTAGGAAAAGGATGATTTGCAATACCTATGGGCAAATATGACACAACTGTCAACACCTTCTTAAATCCAAAATAAGCTTCCCAAGGCCATGAGGGACAGTGGCATATACCCAAGAAAAGAAGCAAAGTTCAACCAGGATGTCCCAACATGTGTCATACAAGCACTTGTAAGTCTTAAACCACTATCTACCATATAATGGGATATATGCATCTTAGGCATGTCAGCAAATAAACATAATTATTTTATGGAAGCTGTCATTGAGAATAACATACTGTATACTAGAGTGTTATTTCTATGACTCTAATTCACAAAACAGTTCTGCAATGTTTATTTCAACTCTGGCACAACCTGAAGAAGTAATAAAACTTCTAAATTCATTGTTAACTGAAAAAAAATGTACAATTTGATGTCTAGTCATGTTTAACTGATAAATCTAAACTTTTAAGACATTTCAATCTATTCCTGAATATCAAATACTTGTGGAATTATTAACTCACCTCAAATCCTAAAAATCTCAGTGCTTAATAATTTAAACCAGCACTGATTGCTATTTCTAACATACCAAGCTAACCATCCTTGTTTTACTTTACTAACAACCCCACTTTCCATTTATGTCATACATACAAGCTCATTTTTGTATGTTTTCATTCTGACTGACAAAGCCATGTCAAAAGTATTATTAAAACCACATTGTTCTATCAATCTCCATACAAATCCAAGAAATTAGAACACATTAAAATGATCATTCATGTCAAACTGTGCATGAGCTGTAAAGAAATAGTCAAGGAAGAAACATGATTTTTTTTCCCAGACATACCTGAAGTAACAGAATATGATGATGCACACTAAGAGTATGCTACAGACAATCACTGAAATTAGCAGAGCCTTCTGGTGAACATTTCCCTTTGAAAAAGCTTAAATAAGAAAACAAAAGCCTTTATTCAATCTGAGATAATGTTACTTATCAGTTTACACATATTTTTAAGTAGCAAGCAGGAGGGAATGATAAAATTAAGACAGTGATGATATTAAAAATTGCAGTATCCAGATGCAACTTATACATTCCTCACATTAACCATTGCTATCCAGAACAGAAGCTGGAACAAAATCACATTGGTTCAAAGAATATGCCTCTCCTGAACTTTTTGGATTCAACCACATTTTATAATAGGCTGAATCACCTTTAAATTCAGGTTTCCTTGGTAATTACCCCTATACTTCTTTTTGACAGTTTGGGTATTGTGATGGTAGCAATTGCAGATCCATGGAAATGATAGTAAAATATCCATGGTAAAATACTTTACCATCACTTCCACATATTTGGAGTATTGTTACCATCACAGTATTGTGCAATTGTCAACTATATGTATTGTGATAGGCAATTTACCTCTAGAAAAAAATGAGGGTGGAAGTTAAAATTCACAAATTCGATCATATTCTGTTCAAAATATAACCAACATTAACATTTTTCCATAAGAAACCTTATCGCTACATGCATATAGTGGCAGAGAAATTTAATAGAAAATGTATCCAGCACCAGGAGAAAAATCAAATGTTTCACCAGTGGGATTTCCAGGGCTGAATATTAGCAGGGTCTGCAAACAGACTTCATCACTCAAGAGATAGTTAGCACTCATAAAGGGCTGGTTAAAAATTAGAAGCAGTTTTTTTTTTAATGAAAGTTAAATTTACACCAGAAAAACATATAAGCCAGCCTCAGAATATCCACACAACAAATCCTGACATTTATAAATGTTTCCAGTGTAATTTTTATTAGCAACTATGCAAATTCAAGGAAATTTCATTTTTATTAGGGAATGTTGGGATATGGGAAAGTTAGGGGGAAAGAATAAATTCAACTAAAAAAATACTCCATAAAGAAATGAAATACTGAAATTTTTCATATTGAAATACTCTCCAATTAATATAGTAACAGCAAAAAGATTTACTGTGATTCATATATCTCTAATAGCTACCATCACAAATATGAATAAGACTTTAGTAGGTTATGGTCTCCATTTCAAGTATACATTTCTTTATCTGTGAACTGCAAACTGATCCAGCATGCATCTGGTTGTTTTAGAGTAAGAGGAGATCTTTTGGTGTTCTATATAGCAAGTCAAGATGAAGAGAAATAACACCATAAGCTGCAAGTCCTCTATTCTTATTGATTGGTCCTGGAATATGGCTATTGTATTTCGGATCTACCAGCGTGATGCAACAAGCATGTGCCTATGGGACTCTTAGCTTTCTATTAAGCACGTTTACTTTCAAGCTCTGATTTCATCTTCTATTGTAGCCCCTGAGCAACATTTCCTTTCTGGTTTGCCTCTGATGGGAGAGACAGACACAGAATCTATCTTGGTTTGCATCAGGTTTAATGTTTTAATTTTATAGCATATAATACTAGGGTAGAGCCAAAACAAGGCTGATGATTTTGTAATTTCTTTTATAAAGGATATGAAAAAAAAATACTTCAGTATCCATAACAAAAAAAAATGGGCACAACTCACTTAACAACCGCTTTGCTTAACAATGAAAATTCTGGTCCCAACTGTAAATCATGGTTGTAAGTCAAAAACATCCTGTAATTCCTGTATCTCCTGGCACTCAAACCTATGAAAGTCCACTATCCTGCAGGTTCCCAGAGCAGCAGTCCCCAACCTTTGTAGCTTGGCGGCCTGGCTGGACGGAAGAGGGAACCAGGCCACGTGAGTGGCAGGCTGGCATGCATGCGCAGCTCAGCTTGTGCAAATTGAGCTGTGTGTGAACATGTGCATGAATGCATGCCAGCCTGACAGCCTGCCACTCACACAAATCAAGCTACACAAATGTGCACATTGGCTGCTGCTTGCACTAGTTGAGCTGCACATGAGTGCCCACCGGTCCATCGCTCGCACAGCCCAGTTCCGAATAGGCCAGGGCCTGGTAGTGGGCCACAGCCTAGGTATTGGGGACTCCTGTCTTGGAGAGAAGCAGCCATGTGAAGCATAGGTGGGTCATCTCATGTCTTTTCTTATCTAGAGAGGTTCTGAAGAATCGGTTTATTCACTAGGTTTTTTGTTCTTTGCTAAAGTTGTCAGCTCGGCTTTCAAAGAAATGTCTTCAGTTTGCTATGCCCCTCCTTGAAGTTAGTTTGACTATTTCTTAGATAGGTTCTATGCAATCTCCTGTAAAAATGTACATATCTGAAGAGACTTCTCTACATTCAGAAATAGCTAATATTTTCCAACTAAGTTTCTTCATTCACAAACTGGAAGTGTTCAGATTTACTACAGTTGCAATCTAAGCGCTGAGAAATGTGCAATGAAAGCCAATCAAATTCAATTTCTTGTCCTATCATCAGTGTCCCGCTTATTTCATCGCCAACCTGAGAGCCAGACATAGTGGCACCACCATTTCTGTTTGTAAGAGCATAAAATCAGTAATGAGATTTTTTTTATCTGTTCTGCCTGAAACCTGCTTTTTTTTCACTTCCAATATTTTTATTCTTTCCAATATTATTAACAGTTTTTCCTGCTTGACTAATAAGCATCTTGCCTAACCAGTATATGGTCTTCTTGTTCTTACAAGGACATTTCATTGTACTACATAGCAAAGCTGTTTAAGATGAGAAACATTTGAGTGAGGGTGAATGTTCTGTTTTTATCTTGTTTCCAGTAAATTAAGACTTCTTTGCCTTTGTGTTCAGTTAGCTTTCACTCTTCATTCTATCCATGCATACACATTTCTGGAAAAGCACTTGAGAGTACAGTATCTTTGCTTTTTTACCATCACCTCTATATCTGAGTTAATTTTGTAGTTTAAGGAACTACTACTACTTAATTTGTAGTTTAAAAAATTACTGCTACTAGAGGATTTCTTTACTTTCCCTTGAGATATCACCATGGGTCATAAGCTTTCTGAATCAGAAGCAACTACTTTTCACATGACAAGTGAAAAACAGTTGTGTTTGGAAACCAATTTTGGACAGGCTGTTTCCTGATGAAAGAAAAATATTGAGCTGGAGATTTAAATTCTTGATTTTCAGAAAAATGAATTAGAGGGTTTTGGACAGCTGACATTTGATAAATCAAAACTGTTCAGAAGTTTAGTAAGATTTCCAGCTGTCCTTCTTACTACTCAGCACACTGTAGATTTCTTGAAAAAAAATTATCAAAGAATTCTGTGACATCAATTGTCTGCCCCTGTGATTGTGGCTAGGTAGAAACCACAGAATATGTTTTTCGTTGCTCCTTTTATAAAGACATTTGAACTAGATTTATCCTCCTTCTGATTAGCAGATATACTGATTGCTCTGACTCAGCCTTTGCTCAGATGCTGCTCACAAATTAATTGCCTTTTATTACAGTGCACTTGACTAGGTTTTGCACATTAGCATGCAAGGTCACACTTCTGCTACATACATACACACACACACACACACACACACACACAATGTAATTTCAACTATTAATAACTGTTCTGTATTTTAGATATCTTCACTCCACATAAATTTTAGTTATTATCACTTCTGTAATTTTAGACATTACAGGTGGTCCTTGACTTGCAACCTTTTTAGTGACCATTCAAAGTTATGACACTAAAAAAAGTGACTAGTGACCGTTTTTCACACTTATGATCAGTGCAGCATCCCCATGGTCACGTGATCAAAATTTGGACAGTTGGCAACTAGCTCATATTTATGACGGCTGCAGTGTCCCAGGGTCATGTGATGGAAAATCATGTGTGGAAAATAGCTTGACACCTTCTTCTTTGTGGCAGTCCGAGATATTGGAACACTACTATCATGTCCCCCCTCATCCTTTTCTTCATTAAACTAGACATACCCAATTCCAGTAGCCATTCCTTATATGCTTTAGCCTCCAGTCCCCTAATCATCTTTGTTGCTCTTCTCTGTACTCTTTCTAGAGTCTCAACATCTTTTTTACATCACAGTGACTAAAACTGGATGCAGTATTCCAAGTGTGGCCTTACCAAGGCATTGTAAAGTGGTATTAACACTTCACATGATCTTGATTCTATCCCTCTGTTAATGAAGCCTAGCACTGTGTTGGCCTTTTTGGCAGCTGCAGCACACTGCTGGCTCATATTTAGGTGATTGTCTACTAGGACTCCAAGGCCCCTCTCACAGTTACTACTTTTGAGCATGGTACCTCCTATACTATATCTGTGCATTTGGTTTTTCTTGCCTAAATGTAGAACCTTGCTTTTTTCATTTTGTTAGATAGTGCCCAGTGTTCAAGTCTGTTCAGATCCTTCTGTATCTTAAGCCTGTCTTCTGGAGTGTTGGCTATTCCTGCCAGCTTGGTGTCGTCTGCAAATTTGATGAGTTTCCCATCTATCCCCTCGTCCAAATCATTGATAAAGATGTTGAAGAGCACTGGGCCCAGAACAGAGCCCTGGGACACCCCACTACACACTTCCCTCCATGTAGATGCGATTCCATTGAGGACCACACGCTGAGTACAGCCGGTCAGCCAGCTACGGATCCATCTGGTGATGGTACTGTCTACCCCACATTTTTCTATCTTGTCAAGTAGTAGGTTATGATCTACTTTATCAAATGCCTTACTGAAGTCCAAATAAATTATGTCCACAGCATTCCTCTGATCCATTAATTTGTCACTTGGTCAAAGAATGCAATGTATTTTAGCTTTATCTCAAATGTTATTTACTGATTTCTTAAAACAGATTTATAAATTCTCATAGTTACTCTTGGACACATTTCTTGTACTGGTCTAAGACTATAATAAATTGACTGAACTGAACACCAACTTAATTACTACATGATCTTTAATTGAGATTAAGTGATTAAAGAAAGAGAATCTAGAGACGAACGTGTTCACAAAGGAGATATACTACACAAAATGATATTTCGTATACTCTTCAAGGAAAACATCTTCTTAAAATGAAGTCAGTTGTACTGAAAAAAGTATGAATTATAGATATTGGGACATAAAAACCAGTTATATAGTTAAATAGAAACAAGCATCAAAGTAATTCACTCCTGCATTTTATGGCTATATTATTAGATATGTTTTCCTGATTTCAGAGGAGCAAACTATTTAGGAAATCATCTTAAGGTGAGTGAAAAAGAGCAACATACATTGTAGTATCACTGTCATTGACAAACTTACACAGTCTTTTTCAAAAATAAATATGTATTAGAAATTAGGATTGCTCTTCTTTTTACCTGGATGTTCTAATGGTGGCAGAGTAGGGTGAAGATCTTTATTACAGAAATCCTGATCTGTGCAGCATGCAATTAATCTTCTTGGTTGAGATAATGGAGTGTCCTATAATAATTATAAGTTTTCAGTAAAACAGTTCATTAAATTTTAAACTATAAGGAAACACTTAAAAAAACTGCATGCAAACAGTTCAAGCTGCTTGTCTTAAAAAAATTAAGAGTGCAACTATTTCAACATAGATGTAATCTATAATTCAGGTTGCTTATCATTATCAAATTCTTTTGGACCTTTTTTAAATGTGCAGTTTAATTCAAAAACCTAAGATAAAATGTAAAAAACAAATTAGGATTTGAGTTTGCATTAAACACCAAGGGCCCTAATTTAGTGGCATTTATGACTAGATGCAATGTACTGCAGTTACCTGCTTGTGATTTGCTACCTTTTTTTTTTTTTTTTGCTAATTTCCCGCAAAAACCATCCATTGGAGAAGTTGGATTTGTTTAACAATTGTCAAAAATTGTTGTAAAATTGGGTCAGACTCGAATTACAACAGCAACAACATAGGATAGAAATTTCAGTTCCAATTGTGCACATGGGTTAATGACCATTTGCTTAGTGATTGAAGTTAAAATGGCACTGAAAAAAGTGACTTATGACCATTTTTCACATTTGCAAATCCTATGGTCACATGATCAAAATTCAGATGCTTGACAACTGGCATGTATGCATGACAGTTGCAGTGTCTTCATCACCTTTTGCAACGTTCTGACAAGCAAAGTCAATGGGGAAGCCGGATTTACTTAACAACCATATTACTAACTTAAAAACTGCAGTGATTTACTTAATAGCTATGGCAGGAAAATTTGTAAAATGGGGCAAAATTCACTTAATAACTGTCTTGCTTAGCAATGGAAATTTTGGTGTAAGTCGAGGACTTATTGTACTTTGCTTTCTTAACAGTTATTACTTTTACAATTCTGAGCTGGATTTTTCTTAGCATTGTTGGCCAACACAACATAATATTTCTGTTGTTCATATTAATGGCAATAATAGTCTCAATTTGTTTCTTTGACCTCCCAAAAGTAAAGTAGAACATTAAATATTTTAATTCCTGACAATATTCAGGCTGATTCTGAAATTTCAAGTTGAGTTTACAACATCTTCTTACTCGGCACTGGAAGTCAGAACCTTCTAAACCTATGCAGCCTGTAGTAAAAGTCTGTCCTCCAGTATCTTCATCTTTCACCATCGCAAAACAATAGCCATCCGTGCTGAATACAAGAAAAAGAGAAAGATATTTCATTTAGCCATATGCGTTATTCATAATTCATGAAGCAATTGAACCTAGAAATCATTAAATTAAGTGCAGTAAACATTTATTAAATCAAATGGTATGATGCCCTTTGGCTAGCCTTCTCTGCAGAAAATCCCCTTTTCTCCAGAAATCTTGTACTTCTGGCATATGGGAGTTATTTTCCATCGGTGTTTGACTAGAAAAGAGTAAGTAAGGCCTATTGACTTCTAAAGGGTATTATTACATTCAATTATTTGACAAACTGTTACTATGAACTTTCTGATAGTGATTTTTCCTCATTTCTACTGCTCTGGGGACTGCCAGGAAAACTGATGAGAAAGAGGGTGGGAGAATGAATGGGCTGTGTCTTGCTGTGCTTTGTTCACATCATCCTAAACTATGGCTGAGCAAAATTGCAAAAGCACAGCCAACTTATCTCAGCAAGGAAATCAGCTTTCCAATCTAGATTGTGGATTCAATTTGCTAAGGAACAAATTGGCACATGATGAACGACACAGCACGTCTCCAGCCGGAACTGCCTATCACAAAGAAAAACCGCTTTACTTGTTTTAGCAAGAATGATGGGTGGAGAGCCAATACGTTTGGATTACAATAGGCTGTACAATTATGCAAACTATATGGGACTCTGATGTTCATTTTTTAAATGTATTTTTGGAGGAGGACATATTCAGTTTATGTTCAGCTTACAATATGTTTTATATTATAGTGCTACAGTATCATTTCCTGCTTCCAAGTGTGAGGAAGTAGCATCATTATTTTTTTGGCAAACAGTTTGATTTCTAGTATGTTGTTATGTCTGTCCTGGAATTCAGAATGAAAGATGAAATATTTAATTACATTAGCAAGAAGCTCTAACTGAGCCAGTTCAGGTGTTAATCAGGGATCAATGAGCTAAAAACAAATAAATGCCCACCCAAGGCACTTCCTTTCCTCAGGAGCCTAACTTTTGTGTTCACATTCTAAACTTATTAAAACTATGATGCTCTACAAAGTCAAAATAAGGAAACTTGAGATATAAAAGTTTCCAACAATTCACAATATAAAAACAGGGTAAGAAAAGACCAATAACCAAAAGAAGAAAAACCTCATAATGACTTACAACTGAACTCAAATGTTCCTGATTTTTTAAAATATTAATGTATTTTAGCATTGATGTATATACATGCTCATGCAAACATACACACATACAATCAAGTCTGAATGCAAACTGGTTTATTATTACTTTACAGCCTTGCATTGAACAATTAAGAAAGCAGAAATGCAGTGTGTCCTGTTTTATGGTCAACAGTGATTTTTTTAACAGCCAAAGTAAACTTCTGAAAAAAAAAAAAAAATAAACATGTAATAGAATTACTGACAGACCCTGAAAATAGGAGGCAAAGTTTTAACTAAAGATTACCTAGCCCACGGAGTGATTTTAACTAAGGTGTTAGTTAAGGGGGGGGGGCATAACCCAGAAGCTTTGCAGCTGTTTAAGCAATATAATTATCCAGTCTCCATCTTACAAGTTGTAGCATCTTAAATATTGATCATAATGAAAGAATTTGAAAGACAATTTTTAAAAAACTTCAAAGGATTTTCAATTCCGATCCCCAGAGGACAACATATATGATTCCACACTGAAATAGCAAGAACTTTTTCAAGGGAATCAGTTTGAGCAACATGAGAACCTTGAAACAATAACTTTGCCGCCATTTCTCTCTATTTAATCCATCTTTTTTCTTTTGTTCTTGCCTTCCTCTCTCTCTCTCTCTCTCTCTGCCATCTGTTTTTGCTCTTTCTTCTTCTTCGCTTCTCTCTCCCTTTTCTTTTTTTTAACCAACTGGTTTCCACTCCAAGCAAAGATTTTCAAAGCTCGCCATTCTTATTTGCGCTGACCTCATCAAGCAAACTGAAACTTCATCCTCCTGGAGACACATTTTGAAAACTGTGCAGTCTCTTTTTCATAGGAATCTTTGAGACGAACAGAGGCAGAACCCAAAGTGGACAGCTGTTGCAAGCTACTGAAATTTTAGCCACATGCGACAGATACACTACTACTTACTTATACAGGCTTTAAATATATACATATTCTTCAATATGTAGATCTTTGGTTGTTCGGGTTTTCTCCCGCGTAAAATTGGAAGTGTCTTGGCGACGTTTCGACGAAGTCCCATTCGTCATCTTCAGGCTGGTGTTTTCAGCTTCTTGCTTTGAGCAGCAATTCTTCAATATATACATATTCTTCAAACACACCCTATAGCTCCTGGATATTATATGATAATTTATAACTATAAGATGCTAAACACCCTTGCTTTAATTTTCAGAAATACATATATTCCCTCAGGTAAAATAAGTTTAATTTGTTAGTGATTATATTTAAGTGGAACTATGGCCCGAAGAAATGTTTATACCATTTATCTCAAGTGCATAAGACCTAAATTCATTTTAAAACTTGTTTTGGATCAGACACAATCCTTCTAAACTGAACAGCCCTTACAACACTATCTACATATTTATTTGGCAAGAGGAATTACTCTCTTAAAGTGCAATAAATCTACTAAATCAATAAAACCAAGTTAGAATAATGAAATCTAGGGTAAATAGATTTCACTACTGAAAGGCTTAGTAGCCAATTTAAAGGCTACAAAATCCATACAAAAAAAGCACATTGTGTCAAAAAATTCCTTGTGTATGAAATATATGGTTTACTACTACTGGATTACATGTCTTCTACATAATATAGACAAAGAAACCAATAGGACCGACAAGATACCTTCTTTATTCTGGGCATATCAAAAAGTGGGTTCAAGATAGAGAAAAAGGTTAAATATTTTGGGGTTACATTGATGAGTTGTGTCTAAATTGTTTCAAAACAATTTTGTAGCTGCATGAAATGATATTAAATATGGGATAACTTGCAATTATCCTCACTGGGCAGAATCTATGTAAATAAGATGGATATTTTACCAAAGATATTATTTTTATTTTAAAGTTTACCAATATTAATAACTGACAGTCCATTTCAACAATGGCAAAAGGATATTTCTACATTTATATGTCAAGGAAACCCCCCCTCCAAGAATTAGATATAAACCTGCAACATGCTAAAGAAAGAAAAGATTGGTTTTACTAGACTTGAAACAACATTTTGATGTCTGCTGTTTGGTCTAGATGAAAGAGTGAGTGATACTCTAAAACAGCTGTTCTCAACCTGTGGGTCGCGACCCCTTTGGGAGTCGAACGACCCTTTCATAGGGGGTCACCTAAGACCATTGGCAAACACATAAGGAACTGAGACACCGCTCCTCCATCCGCCTCCAGGCGGATGTACTTATGTGGACTAGTCATACATGTGTAGAGCAGCTATGTGTAGAAAGCAGTGTAGATCCATTTTAGCCTCCCACTAATTGTCCTCTCTTAGCCACCTGACTTGGTGCTCTTGGACACCATCCTCTTCTTTCCACACCTTCAGTTTCATCTCCGTTTAGCGCTGAAGTGGCGCCCTCTTTAAATTAGGCGTCCAGGCAGCCATAGTTCCTGTCCTGAAGCCAAGATGGACGCAACCATTGGCAAGTAGGGAAAGAAAGTCGCTGAGAGCAGCTCCTCTCATGTGACATGTGCAGAAGCAAAATGGACAAGTGATTGGAGCTGCTGTCTCTTCAATCCTCGATCATGAGCAAAAAGAATCAGGTTTCATATATGAAGCTGGCCGAACCCGCTTTGAGTCGATTCAAAGAGCAAATTGGCTATCGGGAGGAGCCCACTGTGGATACCAAGGTAACAGCATCAAACTCCCCCTCCTCTTTTTCCGTTCCTTTGACCCGTCCTTTCCTTAAAATCCATGAATACCACCTTCTCTTTTTTATTTTAAATACCTGAAGATCCAATTAGGTTTTTGACTGGGCAATTCAATAAACCAAGTAGTAAATTTGAATCTCACAGTATTTGACTCAATTATCCAAAATGAGATTTAAAAAAAATCTAATACACCATTACTCTCATTGACAAATTAAAAGGAATCAATCAACTCTCAGCCTACCTCAGAGGATTGTTGTGGGAAAAATTAGAGGAGCAGTGGGACATATCGTTTGTAAAAACAATAAAGGTGGGATGCAGATAAACAAATAAAACTTCTGTATGACATTTTTGTTAAATTATAAAGAAATACAGATAGTCCTTGCTTAGTGACTGCCCTCATTAGTGAACATTTGAAGTTATAATAGTGCCGAGAAAGTAACTTTACCACAAACACTGGAGCATCCCATGATCATGGATCACCATTTGTGTACATCACAGCTGGATTCACATGGGCCAAGTAAATGAAATCAATGGCAATAAAATCACTAGTGGATGTCCTATGATATCTTGCTTAAAGATTGACTTTATGAGAGCAGAGAAAATGATATCACAACTACACGATGTTTCACTTAACAATCGCTTAGTGATAAAGTTGCTGGTCCCAATTATAGCCCTTAAGTGAGGACCATCTGTAGAAGCAACATAATGATGATGATGATGATAGTAGTAGTAGTAGTAGTAGTAGTAGTAGTAGTAGTAGTAGTAGTAAAGTTGGCAGGGACCTTGGAGGTCATCTAGTCCAACCCCCTGCTCAGGCAGGAAACCCTATACCATTTCGGACAAATGGCTGTCCAGATATTTAAAGCCAGGCTTTTTTAATATTTAATTGTTTTTAAACAATTTAACTAAAACATTTTTGATAGAAATAAACAACACAAGTGCTCTTTATTATTAGCAGGATTAAACTTGCCAGATTTTAAAATTGACAAGCATATTTTTGGGGCCTGCTCTAAAATGCCTTTACAATTATGGAGAATGTGTGTCAACATTTCCTAAATTCCCTTTCCTGTCATTTTTTTTTTTTAATGAACATAATGTAGAGCTGCTTCAAGATGAAAAGCACACTTAACTCTGTGAGAACAGTTGTTGGCTATTTTTTATAAGCATCACTGACTT